CAACGAAGAATTTAAATTACTATTACTAACGATTAATAATACAATTAAATAGAAATAAATAAAATATATACTTTTGTAGGTCATCTCTCACCAAGAATGTTAATTCCCGAGAATGCATGGTCAACGACCTGGGCATCGGCCCAACCTGTACCAGCTCATCGTCAAAAACGATTATTCGATGACACGAGAGAAGCTGAAAAAGTTCTTCACTTTCTAAGTTCCAGAAGACTCGGCCAAGTTGCCAGACTTCTTTTACCATCATTAACGCACGCCGCGCTTTATACTTTGAATTTACAAAAACAAGAGGCCTTGCCTAATTTACCGGACGTTGCACAGAGTATATTAAACAAGTTGCAATACGTTACCAAACCGCTTCATCAAAAATTACAGCTCTACGAGGTAAACTCTTGTTATTCAAAAGTTAATTATATTTGTTTGTATTTTATTGTTGTATTAATAATGCATATTCGGTTATTTTTTTCTTATTTTTTAGGAAATAACACGCGATATCGAAGGCGTAGAAGCTTTAGTTGCGCAGGTTAATTCGTTGCAATTGAAATTAGGAGGAAGCGACGATTCGAAAGAATTTACATCATTTTTAATAGAATTAATGAGAGGAAAGGAAGTTGTTGTACCTAATGGGTCAAGAGGAAATATTGGGGCTCGTATAATGTCAATGTTTCGAGATGCTCAGAAAGTAAGATATGGATAGTTTCGCGTTTTTTTTTTAACAAAAATAAAAAAGAAATGCATTACGACAAATAAAATCAATTGGAATTGTTGCTGTAGGCTGCGCATATGATGACCACCGTAGGTACAAGTCATGAACCGGATATAAATGGAGATAATAAATACAAAACATTCCCAGAACCATCCTGGAAAGAATTTATTTTACGAGCTATCACTCCTAGACCTTCGGTGGTTTCGTCGAAACAACCTCAAAGGATGTACGCGTGCCTCCATCGAGATTTCATTCGTTTAGCTGGCTCATTTTCAGAGGACACTGTATTTTTATAATTCACGATTAAAAAGGTAAATTCAATCGTAGGTTTCGATATGTGCGCATTATAATACATGGATTGTACAAAATTTTTCTAACGCTTAACTATGAGTTATATTTCTTTTCATTTTGTATTTCTTTCTTTCTTTCTCTCTCTCTCTCTCTATCTCTCCCTTTGTTTCTACAACGATCAATCTTTAGTTATTTTTTGAATTAATCGACGATGGTTTTTTAATGTATGTATATATTTTTAAGAAAAATACAGTTGTTTACAATGTTTCTTCTTACAATTATGTTCATTACTTTTCAATACAAAGTATTACATGCGTTTTCTTTTCTTATTATTATTATTATTTCATAACAAAATAATTAATTTTAATAGATAAATATGTATAATTATTAAATAATTATTTTATTTATACCAATGGAGAAAATACTTTGTTATCAAATATTGATTTGCCGAAAATGTAATTTGTTACGATATCGTTAATTTCTTCCAGAGCTAATTGAGCGTGTAAACGTAAGACCGGATCTTTATCGTTGTCTCGTAAATGTATTAAAACACGATGTAATTCACACAAATCTCTGCCAAGCTTGGTTAAAGCATCTTTTTCTAAGCCACGAAGTAACAAAGTGATGACTAAAACCGCCGCTCTACGACATTCGGGTGTTTTGTCCGTCTTTATGATACATATAATGCAGAAGATTATCTAGAAATGTTATTTTCATTATTTCCAATAATTTATATATTTTAACGATGTTTTTGTTAAATAATAAAAATGTATTTTATTTACCTCTGTCATAACATTTCCAAGATGGAAACCTAATACTTTACAAACTTCTCCAAGACAAGAAAGACTCGATGCACGTATTAATGGATCAGGATCACGCGCACCGCATAAAAATCCATTAACAAGTATATTCTTATACACGTAAGCTATTTTACCTGGAAATATTGTATGTATAAAATAATTTATGTTAACATCTTGTTATTTTTGTTTACAAGATTATACTGATACCATTTAATTTGAAAAATTTTAAACACCATGTATATATTCTCTTACCTAATTCTCTAGTCGTTCTTACAAGTATTTCACCAAGTTTTATTCTACTTTGTACAGAAATATCACAGATTGCAATACGTTGAGGCATACATATGTACTCTTCAACCAATATTACTATTATCTCTTTAGGATACATTACAGCCAAAGCGCACATACCATTTATCGCAGCAAGATAAATGAACGAATCTTCATGTTTCAAATTTTCCTGTATTAATTAGATTAAAAGTATATAAATATATTTATTTATTATAAGGGATAAAAAAGACTAGAGATAATAAACCCACTTGAAACAAACGTAAGATAATAGTTTTCCTGGTAACAGCGATTGGATCCTTCATTTCAATTAGTTTCGTTAACGTTATAATCCCATGAGCACGTACTGGAAGCAATGGATCCGACAAATTTTTAATAGCTTCTTCAAATTTATTAAATCTTTTATTATCTACAGATAAATCATCGTAATATGTTTGATTAAATTCTTCTTTGCATTCGATGATCCGAATTATATCTTTTATCAACGCTACCAATTGCGACGGCATCGTAGAATCGTTAATTCGTTCATTTAAATATTTTGCAAATGATTCGAAATGCGTTCGATTTAACGTTTTATCTTCGGAATTTATAATCATTTTGATTAACATCAAGCTAATGTAAATAACTTCGTGATCATCGCTTTCACTATTATTTTGTTTTTGGATTATTTTCTCGTCGAATAAAGATTTAATAAAATTCAACAATGGTTCAGGATTTTTCAGTTGTGCTTTTTGAACTACAGATTTGGTAGTCAAATTCGATAGGAGTTTAATAGTAACTAATTGTTTTTCGACACGTTCCATTACATCATAAGATGTTTCTAATACATTATCAGAAATCAATTTACTAGAATTGGATAATAATTTTAACAAATAAGAAAATAAATTAGTAATAAGTACTTCATCGAGGGATATTAAATCAAACAAACTATCAGCTAGTTGTTCGTATGCTAAATTTTTTTCGAGTCCTATAATTTCCACTCCACCATTGGATCCAAATTTTACGGATATGTATTTACCAAAATTTTCTTTCGTATTGTATCCAAGGAACGCAGAGAAAAGATCATTTTGCAAATCGCTTTCGTAAAGAAGTTTCAGTAATAATTGTCTCACTTTGTTTCTTAACAAGCAAGCACTGGATTTTATTTTGTTATGAATGGAAAACAATGGAATGGTTATAATTGACATAAGCTTGATAGGCAAAGTTTTAAATTGTGTTTCACTTGACGTGAAACAAGTCAAAAGATTTTCTATACATGTGTTCAATTCACTTTCAGGTACTTTGTGATCCACATTTGTAATTAATAACGGTCTCATTATAATATCGATAATATTTTTCTTGCAAGTATTAGGGCAACTTTCGTAAAGAGCTACTATACAATTGTTAGCTATTATCCAGTAATTATTGAGATTTTTTAACGTTAAAAAATTTAAAAGCTGAAACAAATAAACATATTTGTTGTATTAGATAAATATTATTAAAATTAGTTAATAATTTAAATAAATAGTTTAATAATATACCTGTGGACATATGGCTTCGTAATACTTATTTTGATCGGTTTCATGTGGCGTAGCAATCAATCTAGAGATTACATCCAGCTTCTTCCAATCAGTTCCCAAATCTAACATTGTGTCATCGCACAATGTATTAATCAATGACAGCACTCCATTAGGTTGTTGAATTTTATGTATTAAATGTTGTCTAGTTTTTTTACGAATCCATAAAGGTGCTTCTTTATTTCCAAGAATTACCATTAATTCCTTCATAATTAAATACTCTGGACAACTATCAAATAAACGTTCTAATTCAAACAAAAATTGTTTCTTATCATATTGTAATTTTTTGTACAAATCAACGGTCATCACAAATTTTTTCTCGTTCATTTCCTTTTCTTGTTTCAACTGTAATTCTTCTTTATTAGGTTTTTTTAAAGGAGCATATGATAATTGCAATAATGCTGCGATTAATGAACCAATGTGGGAAAGAACAGCTGGTCGTAAAAAACCTTGATTGTAATATTCAATAAGAGAATGGCTTGACAAACATAATCTCTCATATTTCTGTAAAATAGTTGTCTTTTCTTCGCTTAATTTCAATGCTCTGGGACATAGCTTTTTCATATCGACACCAATTCCAGGTAACAAGCATTGTATTATTCCTATTGATACTATTAACTCTATTGCTGTTTTAAACAATTTATATTCGTTAACATTAATGTAATCATTAGTTTCTTCTATTATTTGAACCTTTTTTAGAACGTAAGTGATTATTTGAATATATTGATATCTGTAATATTAAAAGATTATTTATTATTAATTGAATAAAATTATATAAAAAAGATAACGTGTGTATACAAAACCTTATATCTGAATTATTATTTGGACATTTAATTTCACCAAATATTGTATATTTATCATCTTCTGATAAATGACCAAGCGACTCATTCACAATTTCTTCTAATTTATTTTCAAAATCATTAACTTCTATAAACAAGAAAATATAATTGCACATATAGATTAAATATAAATTTCGTAAAAGAAACGCAATAATGCACTTACCAGTTTTATTTGTTGTTAATGTATATAATAACTGCATGTATTTAAGTTGGTCTGATTTTTCCATTATTTTATTTTTTATTAAATGTTTAGCGAGAATAGGATGGCTGCGATCAAAAGGTGGAAAAACTTGTACTTTATACCCGCTATATAGTTATAGTTGTTTATTGAAAACAATCATATAACAACAAAACTTTGTATTCACGGTGGGTTGAAGTAGCGAGGACTGTGGCCATGTTGTACGCTCGACAGAGCATGGGTAATAGCATGCGTGTAGCGATACGTAGTTGGCGTACCCAATACGCTAAAAACAGAATTCTTTATTTCATCGTTATACCGCTAGGTGCATTGATGTCGCATCAGCTATTATTTTTGTGGTTAGTTTGTTTGACAGTTTGCTCGTAAAAAATAATATTTAAAACACATAATGTTTTGATGATCTTATCGTATTTATATAATATAATTAAATTTAAAAAATGCAGCCTCGTTTTAATAATCGGACTTATTATTATCTTCGTAAATGTAAATATAAATGTAAATATAAATGTTCCCATAGAGAGGCTATGCGAGCTTCATAAATGTCCTGCATGCTATGGTATTTCTGAATGTAATTATATTAAAAATATAAATGTTACGCTAAACGATATATATTCTTTGATTAATTATTTGTTTGGTGTCAAAAATGTCTTCATGGGAAGATATTTGCAAAATAAAGTGGTATTGAAAAAGTTGGCGCACACATCAGAGTTGAAAGCGTTCGACGACATGCTTTGTAAAAATAGGAATTTACAATTTCTTTGTAAAAATAACGTTGCAACATATAATCATAGTTTCAAGGTTGACTTTTACGAATTAGTTAAAAGGAAAATAGTAAGCAGCTTTACGGAGGATCATAAAAGTCTTTTGAGACTTTGTCCAAATGCTAGAAATATAGATATTCTGTTTTATAATTTATATGTTAAAAATAAAGAATTAGATGCTAATATTTTCTATATCAATTTGTGGACATTGGTAACTATTAATCCAGAACCACTTCTGCTTCAGGTAATACGACACATGCGTGTTTAATTTAAAATATACATCGTTGTGTAGTTTTTAGATATTACCTGAAAGCAAAGGATGGCCGGTACCAAAATATTTAGGCTCTTGCGGAAGGATCATTGCTGAAGAATATGCAGGATCACCGATAGCAACTTATTATGATGCTCCATGGATTTATAGAGCAAAAATAGTTTCAAGTCTTCTAAACGCAGCTCATATGTTTACGTTTGAGAATAAACATTTTGGATTTTATTTGACTGATATTTCCTTAGATAACATCGCTGTTAATTCAAATGGTATTGCCAAGTTTATCGATTTAGAAAATATTATTGTTGTCGATAAAAATATATTAGAAAAAGGTAGTTAATATTTTTCTAAATTAATTAACCATTTTTCAGATTCCTAATTTCATAAATATATATATATGTTTTAGATAAATCTGCAACGTGGCATAAAATACAAGAGAATACAATTGATCTTAATTGTTTTGATTGTTTTCCCTTTTCTTCAATAGACATATGTAATCATCAATTAAGCGATCATAATTATTACGCCATTTGTCGGGTATGTTTAAAAGTAATTTAAATCATTACATCGATCAAAGTCTATTATTTTAATGCAGTAGAAATCTAATAAGCTTATGGATCGATTTTTAAATGTTGTTGTTTATTCATTCGTAGATCTTATTGTCACCAAAAACCAGCGATAGTTTAATTCCCGGCGGCTTTTTACACGACATACCTAATGATATTTTAAAACAATATCCGGACTTGGACAATTTAATAAATCAATGCGCTGTTTACGATCGACTACAGAATCGAATTAACAAAGGACAACATCTAAAACGATTGTTAGATGCTATCATAGAAAAAAAAAAATGAAACACAAGGTTATATAATTAAACAATTTTTATGGAGTCTCAAGTTTTGTAATATAAGCTTGCAGCTCGGCGATATGTTCTTCCAGTTTTTTTATCGTCATATTTTTTTCAACAATATCATCTTTTAATTGTGCTATTACTGTATCTTTATCCTCTCTTAGATTCAGTAATAATTTATCCGTCGATGGCCTTTTATTAGGATCTTCTTGAATTAGTTGACAGATTATTTGAGTCTGTATAAATTATTATATATATAATTATATTATTTTTTTATAGATAGAGAAATTTATTCATTAATAAAAAGATTTCAAAAATCGAACTTACCCATTGTGGATAATTTGTAGTGAGTGACGTCGGTACTCGGCCTTTTTTAAATTCTTCAATAGTATGACAAAGTTCCATCTGTGTTTTTGCATGAATCAGTAATTCCAATAAAACTATTCCTAAGCTATATATGTCACTCTAAACATATATAAATGAATAAACGAAAAAATAGAAATATATTTAGGATAAATTTTATATAAATTATAATTGTTTGCTCGGAGGTTTTTATACCTTTGGATTGCATTCTCCTTTCAATTGTTCGGGTGCTGCATATAAACGCGTACCAATGATAGTATCATGATTTTTTCTTTGCAATGGGCAAGCCAAACCAAAATCTCCTAATTGAATTTGGAAATGTGCCGTTATGAATATGTTGCTTGGCTAGAATAATATAAAAAAAATAAATATTTCGATATTTTTTTATTTGATGTATATTTATTAGATATTTGATGTATTAATATATTTATTTTACCTTTATATCGTGATGTACCATGCCAATAGAATGTATATGATTTACTCCTTGAAGAATTTGCGTAAATATTGTAGTAATTGTCATTTGTGAAGAAGGATCATCTTTTTCCTTTAACCATTGGTGTAACGTCTTCTCGCAAAGTGCCATTTGAATATATAAAGTCGCAAAACAATGATCCTGTGTATACAAGAAAAAAACACCAAATAGAAAGAAATCAAATAATTAATAAAACTTGTAAAATGTATAAGAAATATATTATCGTATAAACACACACATATTATTAAAATATATATTAAAAATAATAAAATAATACTAACCATTCGTTGTGAATCATATCGTGAGATTTTCTTATTACTATTGCTATTACTAGAAGCATCAGTGGAGTCAGTAATATCAGTACTATTGACGTTACTTTTCGAATGATCAGTATTACTTTTTCTATCTTCACTATCGTTTCTAAACGATACAATATCTGAACTATCCTCAGTACTTAGTTCGATTATTTTTTGTCCTATAATGTTAGTAGACGAATTGAGTTCATGAAATCTTTTGTTAATGATGTTATGATTTATTACATAATCGTCAGTACTTTCTGCGAAAATATACATACCAGTTTTGTCAGACTTTAATGATGTGTCATTTCCATTGTTTTCATTACTGTTATTACTATCAGAAATCGATTGATTATTATTATTAAAATAATTTATTTCACATAATCTCTTAGTTTGATGTTTGAAAATCTGGTTTTTGTTTCCTTCGCCCTCAATATTAGGCAAACTTGGAACAATTGTTGCTACTAACGTTGGCTCTATCCAAGCAGTCTTATAAGCAACTATGTTAGGATGATTTAATTTAGCGAGGACTTTTACTTCTTCAAGGTGTTGTTTTATGGTACTCACTTGACCAGATCTTACTACTATTTTTTTCACAGCATATTCAATACCATCCAAAAGATGTAATGCTTTGAATACATTACTGAATCCACCAGCTGCGATAAATTCTTTTTCCTTAAATTCTCTACGATATCGTGACCATTCAGCCATCAGACAACTAAATGATATAAATTTTAAAAAGTAATACCATTAATTAACATCGATTTAGAAATTTTATCTTAATAAGAAAAAAAAAAAAAAGGAAAAAAAATATATTATTTACTTAGGAACATTTAAAGGAGTTTCACAGCCAGTAGCAGCACGTGCGACCATAACTAATTTATATAGAGCATGTTCATATTGGCTACGTATATTTTCCACTTCCATGGAATTATAAGAAGTATCTATCATTCCTGTTTCATGAAGCCTATTGCATATCACTGCAAAATAAATGTGAACCATATTTTATAATACCATTTTAACTTAATTTTTTATATGAAATTACCCCCTGACCGGTTGTATCACCAGTTACAAAACACCCTGTATATATTTATATATTATTTATTTCATATAGATAATTTATTATTTATTATTACTGAAATATAATTTATCCCTCTTAACGGTATCGCCTTCCCACATGGTACACATTTGTTTAATCAAAGATTCGATTAAAACTCGTCGTGTTGCAGACGGAACTAATTTACTATTGCCTTGTGTTTCTGTTCTGTTATCCAATCTAATAGTCGTCTTATTATTATTACCTGTAAAAAAATTATTAATTATTTTATTATCCAATTGTATATCCAAATTGCATTGAGTAATATTTAAAAAAGAAAAAGAATGTAACACTATTGATATTTTTTTTAAGTATTAAAAGAAAATTAATATAAAATAATATTTGATGATTAGTGAGATGATTCATTAGTTAATATTATTATTATGTAAAAGCATTTCCATTTGTGGAATATTATTTCGAAGAAAAATTTCATAATATTGTTATAGAAGAGGTTAAGTCGTTTACCTCGATCAAATCTACTTATGGTCATTAAATTAGACCAAGGATTATTTTGTTCCGATTGTTTTTCCATATTTCAATAATAAAAGATATTTAACAATGATTTTTTTCAATAATATTATTATTTTTACCTAATTTAAAAACGAAAACATTCTATAGTAAAAAGTTGCAATGCATTATGCAGCAGAACTTTCCACGAGTTTCGTTCACCAATAAGAACGTCTTATACATTCACTTTCGTTATCGCGCGAAAATTTGAAGATTGATTAAACCATCAGGAACTTAAGGATAAGACTTTATATCAGTCAAAGGTTGTCTCTTTGAACTAATCTTAAAAAAAAGTTTTATGTGATAGTTATATATTTATGTTTTTTCCTCTTAATTAAGTGAAAGATAGTATTTATTTTTTTCTGCTATTCGGGTTCTATGCCAACTTTTCTGTGGTGAAGTATTACGAAAATAATGTCGGTAAAGCAGTAAGATATTGACGGTCGGTAAATATTTGTGCTAAATTACCATTGGATCTCTTACTGTTTTACTGACAGTCTTTACTTATTTCCTATACTTTCATTGGATATTACTTACATCATTTCCAACCAATAAGCGTTCTAGGTGATGACGACAAATACTTCTTTCGTGATACCTCCTGTATCATCATGTGCTCCTGTTACATTTCTTTCATTTTTGCGACGCGAGGAAAACGATCGTAACTACCGGAACATATGGATTTCTATTGGAAATTGGAAAACACGTCAAAATTCCGAGTCGTGAGCGTGATGCTTAAATGTCTTTCATAGTATATAAAGACATAATGAATGTATTAATAGAAACATTAATTAATATGTTTCCAACACATTAGATATTTTTTATTAACTTTTATGGTTTTATATTATTTCAAAAAGCCTAAGAAAGAAGCTCGAGATTTGATATGTTTATAATATGTTCCTCTAAAAATTAAAAAATAATATTTTTATCGGTAACCTATATAAGATATTATACCAAAACGATTATTTATATAATAATTTTGTCTATAATATATATAAAAAAATTTTATCACATCTAATTATTCCTAGGAGTCTATAGAATACGTCAAGCATCTAAATGCTTTTAATTCATTACTGACAGTACAATAAATTTTCCTTTACTTCAGGTATGTATAGAAAAAATACATGAAAGCAAATATTTTTAAAAAATAGTTATTTATTAGCTGTATTTAATGTACAACCTTGATATATGATGTGAGTTATTTTTATTTACGAAGATAAAAAAATAAAAGTATTCCTAGAGAAGACTAGAGAGAGAGAGAAAAAGAGAGAAACTAATTGTTACTGTCGAATTTTTCTAATCATTCTGCTCTTTATATGGGATTATAATTTAAAAGGTATCATCATACTTTGCGAGACTATAAAATGTAATTTCACATTTCAGATTTTGTTTATTTGTTACACAAGTACTTGCATTTGTTTTTCTTTCATTTTTACAAATTTAGCTAAACGTATCGTTCATTAACAGATAGATGAAAAAAAAAAAAATGTAAAAGTGATTTGACAAACTTTATACAATAAAAAATGAATATATACGCATAGCTGTACATTTAATAAAGTATAGTTTTCATTTAGAATTTCTTATTATGGAAATATAAATTTATATTTATATTGTTAAATCTCATATTCTATCTAACGCCTCTAACATTATTACACTGTTTCCTCGAATTACCTAAAATAGCAGATATTTATATTATTGAGTATCGAATGGCAAAATACTTAATTGCAAGATGGATATATTACTCACCACCATACCAATATTATTTTTCGTTCCACCTTTACATTCTTCTACGCTTTCATCGATTACCATGTTCATAAAAGGATCAAAGCCACGTAAAATTCCAATTACGTGTCTTCCACCATTTAATTTTACTATAAACAAAATTCATATCTTTATCAATATTACAAGAATTTAATTAGTATTATTTGATTTACTTCTACTCACGTGAAAGACGTTTGTCCATATATCTACAAATAAATAAAATAAAAAAATCATTATTTTGTATACAACAAGTACATAACCTTAAAGTAGTGTATATGATCTAATAAGCTCATATAATCGAACTTAAAAACGATGTAAAGTATAATTTATGATATACAATTAAAATTATACTAACTTTTTGAGTTCTGGAGGATGTGCTTTACTCATTTTTAATTATTTTTAATTGAAAATCTAGAAAATAATTAACCTTCTTAAAGAACTTAAACATAGACTAGAAGTTAGCTCGATGCTATCAAGGCTACCACTACACAAAAATCTAATATCTTAAAAAATAATAAAACTAAATCATTTGGTAATATAATAACATATATATTATTATTATTAATATTAACAAATATTTGTGTGTTACAGAACAGTAACTTTATTTATTTTAATACATAAAACAAATAATGACAAGTTTGTACTTGGCTATGAGCCAATTGGTAACAGGTTTCTGCATCGTTCGCATAACACATATTATACAGTATCCGACCAACAACATAATAACGCTAGTTTAATATTAATTATACTAATTAATATGGAGGTTTTTTAATATAATACAAAAATGAATTAATAGACAAAATAACAATAAATAATTTCAATATTAATCGCAGCTGTCTGTACATATAAATTCAATTGTACCTCACTTTAATCTTTGACCTCTATGAAAAAATATCCATTGATTATAACAATTAGATATAATGTATGCTTAACTATCTATAATATAATCTAAATTTTTTAAATTATTATCCATTTGTATTTTTATAGAAATTAATGATAACTCTCTCTCTCTCTCTCTCTCTCTCTAACATAAATGTAACTTTATGTTATTTTTAATTGAAATAAAAAATAACTTAAAACAAAAACCTAAACATCTACGATTAAACTTTAACAATTATAACGAAAGATAATTCGCTACATGGACTATGTCATAATCTTATCTATTTCGATATATATATGAAATATAATAATCTCACAAGGTACTCCAAGTACAAAATATAAGTACGTCCGTATTTAAATGTATATAAAAGTACAACATATCGATCCGTTAACGCAAGGAATAAAAATCTAGATACATATTTCGAAAAGATACATTTTGAAATTGGCGAATCAATTTTACAGAGACGATATTTCTAATAAATAATTGATCGGAATCGATTTTGTACAACGTAAACGTCAAAATCACAGTGAGTTTCTTCGGAAATCGGATTTGCGAGATCCAAAAGATCAAACATTTTCTTTAGAAAAATCTTATTAGACGGATTGGACGATCAGCGGAATTATTCCAGCATTACATTACTTACTTATTAACAAACAATTAACACGATATACAATATACACAATTTCTATTGGCATATATAGCTGGCGGGAGGAATGATATTTTTCTTTTTCTTTTCTTGTTCTTTTAACTTTTTTTTTATATATCTTTTTCATTTTTTTTTATACACACTTGTTTCATAAAGGATTATTATTTTCGAAATATGATTGTGTAAAAGGTTCACGTTGGAAAGGTCGTAGCAAAATTTAGCGAATAATTCTATTTTGGCGCAGTCTCGATCGTACGAATGTAATAAAGATAAATTCAAAAAATTATAATTACAAAAAATTATCAATTAATTAATTCATTCATTCATTCATTCATTTGTCAAAACACATATTCAAAATAAAATACATACTTGATTTGATTGGAGGCTTACAGTTTAAGTACTTTAGACGGATTACATAGAAGATCAAAACATTTGATAAATATATGTTTCTCAAATATAAGAAGCGGTATGCGACTAACAGTCGCAGCAGGTACATTCAAAAATGATTTTAATATTGAAGTCATTTTTCGCGAACAAATATATTTATGTATATATATATATCTATAGAATAAAATGATTAATTAGCACAAAAATAATATTTTTTTACATGTTATTGCATATGCAGCTAACGCAAAATATATGAAATGCATCATTTCTAACTTTTCTTACATAGCTTATAGTATAATAAATAAGTTGTAAGCGTATAGCATCGGACACCGATTGTATATTTTTTTGTTCACCCTATTTTAGAAATATATCAGAGTAATCTATATAATAACAAGAATATAGCATGAACATTTATTAATACTCGTTATAACAGACAGACACACACGCTTTTCTATCGATATGCCATAGACGTAACACATAATCTCGATCATTTCATATTACTGACATAAGAAAATGATTTCAATTGTAGAATCATATGCTGAACTTTGCAATAGATCGTACTATCTATTTATCTATCCATCTATCTTTTCTTCCTCCTCCTTGTAAATATTTGACTTTGATTTTCTCAAAACCATTTTATCGATTAAACTATAATAGTGGAATGTACCTGCGTGAACGCATTATTTACGGTGGGTCGTTTAATCATCTATGTATTTATTTAGCTTCCGATAATATGATCTTTTCATAATATTTCACTAATACTTTGCGTTGCTCCATAAATATCATATTTTTCGGTATTTCTCAAACGACGTTTAAGAAGATAAAAAATGATATAATTAGGGCAGTTTTTACGTAGGAAAATTGTGAGCAACTTGATCAATATATTTTACGTTCGTTTTATTATTAACGTACACGAATATATTATATATTTAAGATCAATACTTATAATCCTTCCTACGTGTGAATGGACGATGTCATCAAGGACAAGAAGGCAAATTGGCAAAATCGTTTGAGAAAAATTGATTGAAAAATGCTCCATTTATGTACTTGGCAACGGGTTTCATTTAAAAACGAAGTCAGATCAAATACTGTCTCATCTTTTGCAAATTTCGAAATCAAAATGGTTTGCCAATTTAGTTATTAACGATTACGGTATTTGATCGAAATTCGTTCGAAAAAGGTGATTACATGGAGTCCAACGAATACACCTCCTATATAACCTTAAGTAATGTTCACTTTCTACATATAACCTTGCGTAGGAACATCGATATGGTTTTAATTTAATTATAAGATATATCAAAGCACCCTTCGTGTAGGTTCATCAAACACAAAAACAACTTGTTATTTAATACGATCTTCCTTGTATACATGTAATATTTTCGTCCAAAAACCTTCAAATTATTGGACTAATGGAAGCCTATTATCTACCACAAAAGCAGTAAACTTGTTCTTTTCTTATTATTTCTTTCATTCATTCATTCAATCATTCATGCTTTCTCTTTCTCTTTTGTTTTCTTTAATCGCGAAGCCGCGTACAACTTCATTCACGTGGTTTTAGATCACGTGGTCTTAGATCACATGTTCTTAGATCACGTGGTTTCATTCAAAACAATTCATTACTAATTGTAAGAGACATACTATTTACACTCTTTACGATTGATATAAGATAAACGAACACTAATTAGACGTTAATACGTCAGTTAGAGTTTAGATGAGTTCTCCTTCGTAAGATCTTCATTAATGATCATCGTAATGGCGTTATCATACCGTTGTTTCTTTAAAAATCTTTACCGTTGAATCTGCATGCTTCACGTGTACGTATCTCGTTAATGTTGTTACACTTTTCTCGTTATTATTGTTTAATATCTTGATACTCTTCAATTCAGAATTCACATTTTTCTCTGTTTCATGGAACGCCATCGCTCTGTCTATATGACCAGGAACGATAATGTAACTAATCTTCTTGAATTTTATTTAACGCAGTAATGCAGATCGAGATTTTGTTCATCTTCAGATTAATTATTGTATGTAGATAATTCATTCATTATTTTCTTTCCCTATGTATTCATTTAGATTTTTAAATGAGTAGATATATAATTTGATCTGTTGTACTGCGTAATTCAAATCAAAATAAAACACATAGAAAGAGTGCAATACGTCGTGCAGACACTCATAACACGTGATATTTTGCATTTATATGAAATTAAAATTAGGCAAAAATATACTATTCAACAAAATTAATCTCACACAAAACATCTTGTCAAAATCATAAAAATATATATATATATATTTAACGTTTAAAACGGCGAAAGCAAAGTTGTACATCTAATATAACAATTATTATGTATATATACATCTCTAGAACTTAAATAGAAAAACATATTAAACTTGAATTTGATTTTTAGCTGATCGATTTCATTCATAAAGTTGCATATATAAGGTAATAAATAAACATAATCCGTGTGAATATATATAAAAATAAATTTATATTTACAAGAATAGAAATTCGATTAACTTCTACTTTTGCATATACAATAATTGCAAATGATTCCCACTGAATTTTGTAGAGAATAAATTTTTTGTTTGTTTAATATATTAATTTAAAATAAAACTTCGTAGTTAAACTCTTTTCCCAAGCATCTAACTAATTATATAATTACAATATTATTCAGACTGATAGCAGCGAACGTATATTTATTGCAAACACTTAATAGTCATTTGTTTAAAAAACATTGTTAGATGTTGAGTTACCATTTGTAATTCAACTATATTTTGAAGATCTTTCTAAAGAATCATTTATTCTATATGTATATATATATATATATATATATATATACATTTAAAATCAATAATTCTAATTTCGGCTACTTATTCTACATTATATACATACATTAGCAATTTTGTATGATAAAATAATATCACACTAAACATCGAAATTGAATAATACATAAATTATGTAGACATAAATCATTTAAAAACGTATAAATAAAAGACTATAAAATTATGATGTTATACTGTCATATGTTCACAATATTTATTCCATTAAATTAATATATATCTTAGAATTATAAAGATCTAGAGCTTTGGCTATTAAGTTCACATGTATACATACACATATAGATATAATGATTGCTTTATAGATATAAATAAGTCTCCTAGATATCACTTTACATGCAAAAAAAGATCGAGACATGCTTATATTAAGAAATTATACACTCTGAAGCGTTAGAAAAGCAAGATTTCAATAGGAAATTGAAATTAAACCTAAGAAGAAATTGTGTAATAGAAAAATTGACAATATTATTTCTAGACTATTGAATCAGAAACTATTTAAAAATAAAATCATCGTCAATTTACATAAGAAATACTGATATCATATAGATTCCAAAGATAATATATTTATATTTAGAAAATAATATTTTAAAACCATGTTTGATTTACTTTAAACATGCATTACGAGTAAACCAAAAGTACAATAATTGAAATAATATAGAAATATATTACTCTTCTCTTAATAATAAATCTTTCAAAGCTCATATAATTTGAATATTGAATGTATATTGATTGTATATTTTAGAGTGCAAAGTAAATTTGTATTTTTAAGCATTTGTTACAAAATAATTATCAAGGCAGTATGATAAAGCTTTTGATGCATCTATTAAAATCGTCACATGGCATGCAACTACAAAAAATATTTATATTTTACAAATATAAGCAGGAAGTAAGTCAGACACAATATTTCATTTAAAATAAGATATAATATTCGAGTCCTACTTTCACATAAAATATATTAAAATTCTTTTCCTCTAGTATCATTCTACATTTTTCTAATCTTTCTAATTTATTTTTATTCTACATTATAACACTTCTTAATGCACATAAGAAAAAATAATACTATTTTTCTTAATAAGAAATATTTAAATAATGAATCTTTGATTTATACCAGTCGCAATCAGTCATAGTTTGAACTGGAAATATAAAGATGAAATAGAACGATTTATGTTCAATAAATATTCTATGCAAGTGATAAGAATTGTAATGAGAAACATATGAGATAGAAAAAATAAGACTTTAAGGAAAACAATAATGAATGATGAATCTCAGGAAATAACGCAGCAACATCTTTGACATCTACTCTGTTTTTGTACAATATTATTTTTATATTTTTGTGTTACTTTATAAGCTTTCAATTTTAAGCTAATATTTCCTGTATTATCACTAATATCTTGGCTTTTTATTGAATTACTTCTAGTAGTATTTTTGGATGCCATCTCTAGTTTACTCTCACACCTCAATATCTCCAAATCGTTGCCTACTATCCTACATACGCTCGAAGAAGCTGTTTTTATATCACTATCATATTTCTCTTGACCCACAATTTGTGACTGTATATTAACTACTCTTTCATGTTTCCTACACTCTTCTTTACTTGTACTGTTAACTTGAATAGAAAATTCTTTCGAATGAATTTCCTCACTTTCCAGATTATCTCTTGAATCATATAAATTTACATTTTTAGTAATTACAATACTATTCGCTTTGCTGCTTTTTTGCATTTTACTGTATTGATTTTCATAATCTACATTTGATTCTATATCTTGTAAATTATGTATATTTTCACCACAAGTTTCCTCCGTTAATTCGTTTATTCTGCTACCTATTAATGTTATATCTTCTATTGATTTAGTATTATAGTATCTCCGTTCATTTTGTTTCAATGATTCTTCATCTGCAGCAGATAGCCCATAAACTACGGTTTCTTGAATTCTTTCTTCCACATTTAAAGGCTCTTTATATGATAGATTAGTTTGACTACTTGAATATATACTTGATTTATTATCTAGATAGTTATTGCATTTATTATCGTGCAAGTAAACTGAACTTTCATTGGATTCAATGTTACTTGCATTTATTATTGCTATACGTGGGATAATCAATTCACCACCAGGAGAATTTACATTACAAGTTGAAAAATTCATAGAGTCATCAAAATGATGATACCCCTGTTGACCTTTTCCTTTGATCCAAGCTTCAGTTAATATAGATGATCTTTGCCATAAAATGTCACTATTGTATCTCCTTTTTTCTCTTTCTGAATATTGTTCTTGAGTTTCAGGCCATGAGTGTAGGCGACATTGACTCGAACTCTTTTTCATAACGGATCGTCGTTCCATGTCTGCTTCACGTTTTTTATCACGTGCAATTAATTCTAATTTTGATTTCAACAAAGCTGGAGATACAGCTCTATCGATACGTCTTGGTATATTTGACGAATGAGCTGATTGAAGTGTTAAAACACTATCACTAGCATCAATTATTTGATCGATATCTAGATCAGGAATCTCACCTGACACTAAAATAGCATTTGGACTTGGACTGTCCATACTATCTGGAGTATAGGGATCATGCTTAATAGGTACTGCGTGCAATAGGTTGGATGAACGATCAGCACAAAGGGTTTGTGCACTAACGTAACTAGTGCTATCAGGCAACATTGGTAACAAATCCAAGTAATTGTCAGGAACTTGAAAGCAAAACTCTGGTGCACATGGCAAGCTGCAGCAATTAATCATACCTGCTTCTGATGCGAGATTAACCCTCAAGTAGACTGGCTGTAAAAATGAAAAGAAAAACACAAAACTTACACATCATTGAATACCTTCAACAAAATTAGAGATATATTATTAATATATTGGAGTTCTACATAAAGGTTAACTAATATCAACATGATTCGATGTTGTAATGCTGTGTCCTGTGATCTGTGGTCTGTGGATAACACTCGTCAGGTTTTTTTCTTTTTCTTAGATTTTATAAGGTACAATTATAGAGGAAAATTAATTGAAATGCATGATTCACATCTATCCATCGTTATCAAAACTTTATAATGTAAAGAATATTCTCAAACAGTGCTATACTAATGGATAACAAAAAGAAAATCATAGTAATAAAAAGTAAACTCTCTTTGTAAAAAAATAATTTTCTTCTGATATAAATTATTCTCAAAATGTACATTAGTATAAACACAGAAAAACAATATATTGAATATTATAAATAATTTCTTTTTTTTTGTTAATGATGGTAATGCTAGCAAGTCAAAATTCATGAAGAATGTAAGATTCGGGCTGTGATACTACATTCAAAGGGTCTCAATAAATATATAATCAATCAAAGCAACAAAGATCTAAGAAAAATAAAAAAAAATACATGGGAAGCCAAAGAGAAAAATAGACAGACAGTTCATATAGTACCTTAATGCTTAGAGATTCATTCGAAACTCCAGAAAAACAGGCTGCACCATAATAATTGAAACAGTGGATCATCAGAATAAATTTAAGGAAGTGTGTAAATATATATGTACCGAGTATAATAAATATAGTAAGATTTTTTCTTGTGAAATATCTATAACTTATCTTACCTTATGATCACCCATGCAGGTTGTTCTTCCTATTATACCATACTCTACTGCATTAGAAGAGGATATCTGTAAAAAAAAAAAAAAAAGAAAAGATATACATATATATATTTATATACTATGCAAAGTATAAAATAATCTAGTAGGTTTTCTATTAATTCTTTACGGTTATAATACTTTTCAGCATGAATTATCTGTAGGCGATGTAATTAATTATTACCTGGAAAGCCTACTCCTATGGATTAAGAGTTTGAAGCTTATCTTTTCTTTAGATTTTCTATGCATGGTATATAATATCTGTGTAGTAACAATAAGCTAAGTTGCATAGGATTCACTTCTTAAACAACAGTAAATAAAAAAAATGCCTTGCCAGGAATAACCTTTGACCGCAAAGAGTTAAAGCGAGTAACATTTGAATGAAATAAAAGTTTATATTGCGTACATTTTGGACTAGCATTTTAGCAGTTGGGCTCAGTAATACTCTGTCACACCAAGCTGGTACTCTAGTTTGCATGTAATTTGTAGCTTCATTTACGTCTTCTTGAAAAGGATAACTCGGAATAAAATTAATTGGAAATTCAAACAATCTTCCGTTAAAGTCTTCCAATTCCTTGTCATATTCTCGTAGCTGCATAAACATCGGTTATTTCATTATGGAGTTCCTAATTATTAATGCATTGCGATAAGTAACAATAGATTAAACAAATAAAGAATAATGCACGACTTACCCATTGTCCACTATTATCAACAAAAACATTTTGATGTTCATAGTATGAGAATTCTTTTTTGCCCAATGATAATATAAGATTATTTTCCTTGTTGTGAAATTGTAATTTCGAAATATTTCCTTTATTTGATAATTTTTTTTCTTGAGTATCTTCAGTGAGTTTCTGTTAATTGCAATAACACAAAAATAATTATTAAAAGTTTATATATACGTTATAATATGCAATAAAGATAATAATTCTATACCTTAATTACACCAGCAGTGTCAGTCCTAAAATTAAAATCACCAAATAAAAAGTATGGTGCTTTTGGATATTTGTCACTGTGAAATCTGTCTAACGTATGCTCCAAAGCTCTTCTACGTGTTTTACTATAAACGGATGGAAACTGCAATTATAAAACAGCACTGTGAAGTAAGAAAGTAATGTGAAAAAGATATTCGTTATCACATAACTAAATATCCTAACTTACAGTTTCCATTGCAATAAAATTACTTGCATCATGAAACAAGTGTATATTTATGAGATCAAAAACAGTTCCACTAATACTCCATCGTGTTCGCAAATATCCTTTTCTAGACCACTTACATTCAGGAAAAAAGTCTTGAGGGAATTTTGCTTTTTCTTTGGTTGTAACTGCCTCTATATTACCGGAATGAATTTCCTTGCCACATACTGGTGCGAAAGCACATTCTGAAATTAACACAAAAAAGAAAAATTAAAATAAAATTATATATATTATTGCTATTAGATAATTTTTTCCAAGCATAACGATTAACATACCTTTGAAATCCCATAATAAAACATCTTTTAAAGACTCATGAATAAAATAAAAATTTCCCAGTGCCTGTAAAAAAAATTAATTAAATAATTTAATGTATTAGATAAAAAATTAAATTCTTATTATTACATTTCAACTTACTGTAAAATGTTCAGCCGACGAATAGTCTTCATCTAGGAATACTCTTGTTTTATCAAACAGCCTTAGTTCTTCTGACGACATTAGTAATCTAAAGAGGAAAAGAAATTATAGTCATTGATAAACGCTAAGGCTCAAACAGAAATATTCTACATTCTATGAGTTTTATAGAATCCTAAAGATCTCTCATGATTTTTTTTTCTTGCTTCTTTTTATATTGTGCTTTCACATGGATATCATTCAATAAACTAATCTTTTGAAGTGGTTCAACCAACCGTAAATTCATGCGTGATATTCTATTTTTATCCTTTTCTGCCGCTTATGCGTTAAATCACATTCAATATTGTGAACAAGGATACCTATTTGTTTTACCGTGCTCCTTCAAAGGCTGGTTTATAATTTCCATATCATATTACAAAGATAAATCATGTGAAGATTATTAGTAAAAGATATTACAAAAGTAATATCACTTTTTATAATTATAGCATACTCTCTGAAATATTAATATCAAACCTAGGTTTTTTATTAATTGATTGCAAAATAATAAAGCTAATTATATAATTTATATAATTAGAATTGCAATAGAATTATTTACACGTAATAGTATAACAATCTATTTAGAATGTAACAATTTTTGCATAACCAGATTAGTAGAAACCTTTAAAGAAACCACTAATGAGATTCAACTTACTATTTAGAGTATACAGGAAACACTACAGACCATATCAAGAACTTGCTTCAATCATTTATAATGTGACACATTTAATCAATTCTTTTGGCATATCATCAAAGTTCCATGCATTCAAATTTACATATATTTGTATAAACTAAATTTCAACTATGAAAAGCTAATAAATAAAAGAAATTTAATAGATATTTACCTAACAAAGTCTTCCACATGTCTCATACTTTGTTCATAATTCTTTCCACCTACTTCTTGGCAGTGCAGCGCTATAAACTTCGAATCCAAACGTGATATAGTCTGAAAAAAGGAAATTTCAAAAGGATGCGACTTAATGCCATTTAATTCTCAAGATAATATTGATAGTAGTAAAGCTTACCGATAAAAATTCTTTTGTCCATATCTTTAACATAACATCAGGCTGCAAAGTAAAAAAAGAAAAGAACATTATTACAAGAGTCATTCAAGAAACATCAAAATAATTATAAATTAAATGTTACGTTGTGGAAATAAGTTAGGGGAAAAACAAAAAGAAAAGGCGCGCGTTTATATTCAGTAAATCAAACATCAAACAATCATACGCCTCGATTCGCGGTAAATGCTTTGCACTTGATAAACAGTACCGGCACACACGCATGCATACATATGTATATGAGAATATTCGTACGCTAAACGATATAAATCGTCATATTAAACTGAATTGAATTGTGACGATAAAATATTTTTATTTCACATACACACATGTATATGTATCCAAAAGAGGCAATGAAAAAATTACTCAACAATGCATAACGCATTTGGCAGCTTTCTTTCAAACGAATCAATCGGCAAAATGATAGCAAAACTAAAAGAATTAAATGTACGTACACGAATAGAGAATAGCATAATCAAAGCAGAATTAAATACATACGTGACGAAAGCGCGCGAAATGGGATACAAGATGAGAAATTGAGACGTAAGAAAAGAAGAGAAAACAAAAAAAGAAATAGGAATATAACAAAAACACAAGAAATGATTTGTTTTCTTTTACAGATAGAGAATACTTATCGTAAAAAAGTTTCGAAATAAAAGAATAAGAAAAGTTAATAAAACATACCTCTTCGAAGATACTGCCGACGTTTGCAGTGATCAAAAGAATCGGGACTCCTTCGATGGTAGCCATTCTCGAAGGCTTGACGAATATAGCAAGAAGAAGATGATGATGATGAAGAAGAAAAGAAAAAAATCGAGTTTAGTATATCCTCTTATGCGGATTCTCTTGGGACGAAGAGGAGCTTACGTCGAGGAGGCCCTTGAAACGACGTGAATACGCGACGTATGCGTATGCGCCGCGCGTGTACGCTCGTCTCTCTTTCTCTTTCTTATTTTTCTTTTATTTTTCTCTTTTTTTCAAACGTACGCTCGGTTGCACGCACGACCTGTCACATAAAGTTGTTGTAACGTGCCCGCACTGCACTGTCGAACAAAATAAAACGACGTCGATGGTAATGATGACGATGACGATGACGATGACGATGCGATAAGGATGACGATGATGATGACGACGGCGACGAAAACGAAGACGTAGAAGAAGACGTTGATGATGATAATGATGATGATGATGATGATTGACGACAGGAATCAGTTGCGACCGAGGGAAAAGTCAACCCCTACGTCGAGGAGTGGCCGCGGTCGTCCACCGTGTCCTGCTTGCATCAAATCTTGCACTACTGCTGTTACTGCTGTTACTATTGCTGTTGCTATTGCTGCTGTAAATACACCACATCGTTAATCGAATAACGGCCAAGACCCGTTGGCGCACGAGAGGACAATCGTGCGTGTCGTAAATATATCCCTCTTTCAGGTTGCGCGCTCTGAGGCCACGCCTACCACAGACGTCAATAGGCAGTGCCGTAAACTTACTTTTCTCACACAGGCGCACTACCATATCAACTTTTTATTGTATTTTCTCTTTTTTTCCATCCATTTAAAAGAACTATGACTTTTCCAAGATTGATATTTTTAACATATTGAATCTTCGATATATTCGATTAATCGATAATAATCACTTCATCGTTGTTTTTAAATGTTATTTATCCGATTTCGTAATTTTGTTTGGTTTTTGCTGAAATTTAATATGATTATATGATTTGAATTTCTTTTTTTTTTTTCAAAAGGTTATGGATTTATTTAATAGGTTATTCATTCACAATAATGAGGGGATTTTCTTATTTATTTCTTAGAAAATTACAAACGGGTGCGTACGCGAGCATTCACACGTAGATATTTAATCGCGGCGGAACATTCGAATGACTAAACTGTCGTCATTTCAAGCGTAAGCGCGTTTCTTCGATTTAGGTAAAACCCAAAAAACTGGTTTGATGTTATTTATGATAATTTTGTACAAGTATTAAAGCTAATAAACATCACTCTTATGTTTGGTTTCCACTAATTTAAAATAAATACTGTAATATTCTTTTGCTTACAATAAATAATAATTAATTGTGGCTTACGTGAATCCATGACATCATTTATACGATTTCTTTTTTCTTAATTATTCGTTATTTCAATCAACATTTAAGATAGCTAACTTATTTCTTATTAATTTTAAGTATAATAAGTAACAATATGATTCTTTATGATTTTTTTACGACAATTGTGATCAATTATTTCTACCAATTAACATTTTCATGTAACGCATGAGAATCAATCATATGTGATCTTCTATCGAAACTGTTATCGAATTATATCGAACGATCGATATAGTTTAACCATTCACAGGAAAAATTGGTACACATATTATCGCGCGTGTTTTGCACACGATAATGTCTTTTCAAATCTTCAATGATTATCATCGAACTATACAAGTTGTTGGATTAGGTAAATTTATATTGTATGTACGTTTACAAAGTATTGTTACATTTAACTTTCCAATGGAATATTATGTGATTTACTTTCATAAACGTATGTATGAGTTCAAGCATATCCCCAAATCAATATGTTATTATGCGTCAATAGTATTATACGTAAACTAGTTAGTTTGATAAGATAGAATTAATTTCCACAATTAAAAGTATACTATGTACAAAGAAATAAAATTTTGTCAATCAGTTAATTCATCATATCTTACATGCATCAAATTTTACATGCGTAATAGTAATATATGTAACTATTAAAAAAATAAAAAGAACAGATAAATATATGGAAAATGATCGTATCTTGTGAACGAGTGGTAATTTCTCGAATAATACGGTCCTGGGCAAGAAAGTGGCGCTTACGGTGCGCAGGAAGTTAACGCGCATACGTCTTTACGCGCCGCTTATGTTGCGTTCTCCTCTGTTTTTTTCCTAAAAGACGTCACAAAAATCAACGTACTGATACCAAATTTCCCAAGTATAATCAATAAGGTAAATTTTCTAATGACAGTAGAAGAAGATTTTATTTAAAATGGGATAGGAATGAGAGTATGTTCGTTTTTAAGACACTCCCGCAAAGGTTTACGGAGTATTACGAAGTATGACGATGTATGACGAAGTATGACGAGTTTATAACGTCGGGTCGATAATTCATTTTTGAAGTTACGACGAATAAACCGTATCCAGTCGTTTTACGATATTCAGCTTTTCCGTGCAGAAAACACTTGGAAAAAACAAATCGTTCAAATCTACACAACATGATGTTCACATTGGGACGATCGATATATATTTCGTAAAAATATTGTTTAAAGAAAGTTGCAAGTAAGTTTTTCTTTGCCAGTGAAATTCTTGACAAAATTTTCCTCAAACTGACCGAGATTTTATCAAAAGTGAAAGGCCTTATCTATTGTGCAGCAAATTCGACCGCGATTTTTGACGTACAACTTATACCGTTCCTTTTAAACTTTTTTTTTATATACACTATACATATATGAGTATTAAGGGCTAATACGATCATTATGAGGATGTACTTAGTAAAAGGTTAGATGTTTAATTAAATAAATTCCATGGAAAATGAAATTATCGTTTTTAATGGAAAATATAATTTATTTGTTTTCTCCTTAAAAGAACTATTATCAAAAGATTTTTTTTTTCAGAATATGTGTGCACGCAATTCACGTGCTTTTGTATTTATTTAGCTCTCTGAACTTCGCCATTACATATTCGATGTATGGAATTAACCTCATTCGGAAAGATGTATCAAGAATTTAACATCTGTAAAGAGTTTCATCGAGGTTAACTAAAAATTTCACATCGCGAGATTCTCTTTGAAAGAAATTTTATTTATATCGAAGAAGGACACGCATTGTAGTGTATCGTGATCGATGAGAAAATATTCCGCGGCAATATTTCAACTTTAGTAGAAACAATAATGAATAATTTTTTCAAGTTTGATCACTTAAATTTCTTGTTGAACGCCCTTTTAAAATGATCAAGACTATTGTCGTTCGTTTTTTAACATAAAAACGATATTATTATTGTAATAACATTGTTGTTACGATCGAAATTTATATCTGCGTCTAACTTCTTTATCGACCGAGATATGCGCGCATTTTTTCAAATTGATACAGATTGATCTATAATTACGAAAAGTCATATGTTGATATTTTTTTTTTTTAGCGAAATGCATCTGTACGTGGGAGTATTAATAATTCTGGCGACCTTTGCCTGTGCTGAGAATATTCTAATGACCGAGGTCTTTGTCATACCTATCAGACCGGAAACTTTCAATTGGAATCCAGATGGTAAGACGGGCAAATAGACAAACTGATAAATAAAAACAATAAAATATAAAACGAGATAAAAACGAGACTTTATTTATTAAAATGAATAAAGAAATAATCGATCAAAAATTAAATCTCCAAAAATGCAAGAATGAAAACGATCTACATGAATAAATTAAATAAATAAGTAAGGAATCTGAAAAATGTCAATTTTAAATCTAAATTTTGCCTAACACATACAATAAGGAGAAAAAAGGAAATAAGAAAAAAAAGGTTCTTGTAGTCATCCGTTAACCCGCTTCATAATTTGAAATTAAAGTACGTCTCGCACGTCATTCGACGCGCACCACGAATAGCAATTACAGACGCGTCTCGAGCGTTAATAGCGTTCGACCTCGTACATGATACGCGTCCGGCTCTCTTTCTTTCTTTCTCTTTCTTATATGCGTTTCAAGAGACACTTTCTAACACACCTTCCGTCAAATTTTTTTAATCAATATCGAAGGTCACATACTTACGGTATTAATGAATTTCATCGTAAAATACTATCAATTTTCTACTTTCGATTTTCTACTAATTGATTTATACTTTTGCTAATGATTCATTATGGATCATTGTTCCAATAAAACAAATTCGACGTCATCGTTATCATGATTCATCCTTTTTATTTTATATTATTTTATTTTATTTTGTATTTTGTTTCGATGAATCTCGATAATTCTAATCGTATTCGTGTGAAATTTTATTTCTAGAATATCGCACAAATTATTGCGAAATATTTCTTTATATTTATTACTCGTAAATTAATAATAAATAATCGCGTGTGTTAAAAATACAATTTTCTTTTATCTTCAACCACGTGCCCGATAGTTATTTGGACTTTAATATAAGAATGTCGAGACTATATAGTTTAAGATTGCGAGAAACGTATGATTGCTTTATCTTATGTTACATGACGCGTGGGTAAACGATTTATGGTCGACGAGACAGTTCACATTAATACAAACGACGCGAAAGATGAGCTAGCTTGATTTCTAGTTTGATAGAAAAAGAACAGAGAGAGAAAGAAAGAAAGAAATAATGAAAAAATATATATGAAAATATATATATATTTCTTTTTTTATATCATGTTTTATACATTAGAAATAGTTGTGCGCTTTCATACTATGTTTTAACAATGGCTTTTCATGAAACGATCGATCGTCTCTATTGAAGGAAAATACGATCAGTTTACGTATCAACCGTCCTTGCTCAACGCTCCCGATCTTCCGTCATGGATTCACTATGTTCATAGTAAAAGAGATCACGGCGGATTTCTTTATGGTGTGGCACCCAAAAATCAAAAATATTTTCAAGTAAGCATACGAATTTATTGTAATCGTCATCATTTTTTTATTCAAATTAATCACGATTTATTTATATATTTTTCTTTTCAGTTGGAGATTGTGGGCTTGAACAAACACACGTACGAGACGAAATATAAAGTGCTCGACATCAACGTTCTTGAGAAACAAAATTTAACGAGATACGAGGTCAACTTAAAAATCGATAATCTCAACGTGGAAGATATATTTGGTCGTAATCGTACCGAAAAACTTCTTCATATTTTCAGGTCTGTCTCACGACAAATCTATACTTGTTAAAAAGTTTTTTTCTATTTTTACTTTTCTCCTGATTATACTCACACGAGATACATGATTTTGCAGAAACAAACTTTGGACGACTGCAATGGACTTATATGTCACTTTTCTTGCTTCTGCGGTCGAACTCGGAGCACGCTTACCCCTTAAACCTGGAGAAAGCGAGGGGTAAGCTGGTCTTATTTTCTAGAAGATTTCAAACTTATATACCAAAGGAAGGAGTGAAAGATCAAAATATTGTTTTGTTATCATTGACGTATCGATCATTTCATCGCTAGAAGAAAATAACACACTGACGTGCATTTAATGTTTTTTTCAAGCCTTTGAATGTCAGACGTTTATAACATATATTTATATATGTGTGTATATACAGGGTGTATATACAGGGTGTATATATGTCTACATGGGGGTACATGTATGCAGGCTATGTATACAGGGTGTACATGTGTATATATTCTATTGCAGAGTAAAAATTGTTTTAGATAGATACCAATTTAGATATTGAAGTTACGTGTCACCAAGTTTAACAAGCCACATCTCTTGTAGACTAAAAAATCGTTAAAAAAAGTGATCTTGAGAAACAATTCTTTTTAGCATTATTATTAGATTTCCCCTCTACACTAGTGCAATTTTTTCCTTTGAGGTTTTTTACTACGATTGTAAAGAAAGAAGATATTTAAGAGTAATGTATTGCCGCACCCTGTATATATACATAATCTTACATTTATTTCTTATGTTGACTTTTATCGAAATCAAAATTCTTAGGCAATATTATTGATTATTTATTCGAATAATATTACGTCATGAAATATAATTAATGATTTTAGGAAAAAGATAGAGATAGAGATAGAAGCGTCCCTAATGGTCACAGGAAGATATTTTAAAAGACCGTAGAAGTTATTGAAGCGTACAAATTCCAAGGAAAAATCAATGAAGCAGTAGGGTTGATAATATATCCATCGTTCTTCATAGCAAATATTATCGTATATTCACGGGAAATAATGAACGTTCTTGACATACATTTCAATTGTTTTACAAATGCGTATATAATGCCTACGAACGTCACATTAAGATTTCATTCTTTCATATCGTAGTACATATAATTGGACGAATTAAAAGGAAATATTTCATGAGATTAGATAACCACGGATGCCGGCCTTCCAATCTCTATATGTTAAGGTACTTACGCAAGTTCTATTACTTATGAAAAGTATATTTTGTTTGTTTTTTTTATAGAAACAAATATTTCTAATCTCTTGTCGAGAATTTCTCAATTTTGGATTACAATATACATACCAAAATAATATTTGTTGCTAATAGAATGTTTCTTTTTGCGATAACGAATATCTTCTTTTCATCTTGATCGATTCTATTAGCCGACTTAAGTCCATTAACATTTTTCTTCTCTGTTGATGGAAAAAAATAAACTATGTTTGTGGAGGATTTAGAAAAAAAGAAAAAGAAAAAGAAATTTCCATACGATCACAATCTCTTAGGGAAACTTGATTGAAAAAGAGATAAGAAAGTTATGCAAGTTGATTTAATAATCATAAAATAGTAAGAGGAATAGATAAAACGTATCGCGCGTCTCGTGCCTTGTCAAAGATCTCGATGGAACGGTGCCCGCGCAGCTACTAAAAGACTAAAGCAATCCACCTCCTTGCGGCAACGCAACGCCTCTAATATGTACACAGCGTGTAAGTAGTCTGACTGCTCGAACAAGTACAACATTGTCAACGCTACGGGAGAAGATAATCGAAGCGCTTTACTGAATGACGTTTTCTCCTGTCCCACGCACACGATAAGGTCGCACCCCATCTCCTCTCACTTCACCTCACCTTAACTTATAATGCCTCTTTCGTTATGTATTGGACCAGTGTCTCTCAAATTTCATCTTTGATAACAAATTAGAACTTATATTTCTTTAGACATTCAACGGAATCAGACGAATTGCTGCGCGAACAAAATTAGGGTCGGCATATATCGTATCATATATACATGTATATTTGTTTTTTGTGATCATCGTTTTTATAGATAACTTGCAATTATTTTTATGAAATTCCTCTTATTGATTTACATCGTGTTTTTAGTAAGTTATTCGTGATAGTTATATTATATTGCCATGCGAGAGAAATGTTATATAAAAATTTCAATATAATAATATAAAAAAAAAATAGATATAATGAGATAATGTTATTTTATAAAAGTCTAAGAAGATATAAATAAATTATACGATTATCGATAGGAAAATGTACGTTAAATGTTTTGACGACAAACGATAACTTTTTTTTCTTGTTGATTATAAATAATGTTTGTCAAAATATCGAAATAACATATGAGAGATTCCTTGGATAATGAGTAGGGATGACGCAAATGCCGTCAAATTAAATGCGCCGATACTACTCGCATCAGTCAGTATAATCACGCAGAAAGAATCTTTATATTTTTGAATCTTCTAGCGTGTAGTATTTTATTCGATTCATCATGAGGTCATTTCGAGTAATTTATCAAGAAACAAAGTTCTCTCTTATCTTGTGTTGAAGAAACCTAACGCACCTGCAGCTTTAATGTGTTCGTTATATTTACGACGAAAGAATTTTTTTAACTTGTGTGACATTTTTTTAAGTACTTGCGTCATGACATAAGTTTCAGAGGAAAATAAATAAACATGTATGACAATGATAACAAACGTTTCAAAGACCGTCAAGATATTGTGATATTATTCTCACTTATATAGAAAATGAGTGTGTTGGAATAAACAAAAAATGATTCGGAAAATTTGTCCACGAGAATCATATACATTGTAATAAATTTAAAAATTGAGTTATCAACGTTAGATATTAGAATGAAATCGGTTAATCCCTTCGTTTGTTTGTGTTACAGGATTAGGGAAAAAAGGATTATTATCTTCTTTATTTTTACCTTTCAATCAATTCAAACTGGTTTTTTTTCAGAGTCGTAATGAGACTGGGTAGTTCGGTGCCGTTTTCACAAGAATTGATTGAACTTCAAGAAGAAGTAAAACCACTTTGGAAATTATTACCATCCTGCCCAAGAGATTTTAAAAGAACAAGCGTGGAAAGACTATTCAGAGAAGCTGGCTTTTTATTGGATTGGTGTTCCTTCAGACTGGTCAGATTAATTTTTAATATAGACGTTTATTGTTACGGATAAATATTTTCTACAAAATTTAATAATCATTTGTTGGTTTACATTATCGAAAAGATCGAAAGCGACGAACAAAATTTGCAACGAGAAAGTGCGAGACGCGGACCAAGTATGAATATCGTTGGCTTACCATCATCTGGAATTTCTGAACATACCGAGTGGCAATGGGCAAGATCAACGAAAGCTGATATTCCTACGAGAAGTTATTTCAAAGAAATCGTTACGACGATCTTCGTACCAACGATATTACTTCTTCTTTTGGCCACTTCTCTGAGTACAGCACTTTGTCTTCATCGTGATAAAATGTAAGTTCGTGTTAAATTGTTTTACGATAAAGCAATTTAAACAATGTTTCAAAGCAAACACTTTGTATTCAGGGTGCGGCAATAACTACTCTGTCCACCTTGAATATCTTCTTTCTTTACAATCGTAGTAAAAAACTTCAAAGGAAAAAATTGCACTATTGCGGAAGGGAAATTATCGATATTTTTTTTAAACGGAACTATATAAATTTGTTTCGCGATGAAGAATTACATGCTTGTAGAGCATGAAAAAGGAACGAATATAAATGATCGATATCCTTGAAATTGAAACAAAAGAGTCATTTAAAGTAGACAGATTTATTGCTGCATCCTGTATATTCCATAAATGGTAATTATTTCATTTTTATTAGCTTTTTCTCAGTTTTGTTTAAATCATTAGAAAAGAAATAACTTTAAGATTCGAAAATCATGATCCATTGTTTCTGTTTGGGTATCTTACCTCATAAAATCGGTTACACGTGTAGCGGCATATTGAGTATAAATGAGCGAGACAGAGGACAAGGAACTCTCTCTTTCTCTTTCTTATAGTCGGTTTCATTCATAAGTAGGAACGATATCTGACCAAGTAACATCGTAACGCTCAGCATGGTCGAAAATATGAATGCGATGTGGTTCGAACACTCGACTAATGTAATCGGCACGTCTACGTATATATCATATCATATCATATCATATCATATAGAAACATATATATATCGTTGAAGCAAAAGCGTGTCATTGGAAAAATACAAGATATAAGTATTTTATATGTACGAAAAAATGAAATTTACGTCAAAAGTTTTGTATTGGAAGTTATCATATTTATATATTCGCTATTTTTATTAATATTCAGTGATCTTTCTTTATCAAGAGTTTTATATATAACATACTCTTAAATATTCTTTAGATAAGTAGAATTACAAACAAGTAGATTAAATTATTCGCGTCATTCGGATTTTACAAACTATTCTTTATACGTAAATAGAGAAATATAAACACAAAGAATGTATTCATTTTCTATCTCGCTTAGAATATAATTATTCTAATATAAGAGAAAAAAATAACATACAACACATCCGGTAAATTGTATGATAAAACGATATTTTTGCTATTAAGTAATCATCATCAGGATTTCCTTCTTACCATTCAGTCTGATAATTAATAATTTCTACATAATCAATAGATATTATATTTATGAGATTTGATCAATAAGAAAACTTATTATTAGAATTAAAATTAAAATTTATTGAATCGTTGAAATATTTATAATTAGATTCATTGTGGAAAAATTCTTTTTTAAAGTCTTTTTTACATTTCTATGTAGTTTACCTCGATTCTACAAAATATCAAGATTCTCGATCAACGTAATCAAATTAATCGTCATTTCCTTAAGAGATAATGATAATGCGAATAACGCGCAATCTACGTAAACAGACTCAAGAATTGCACGTCATCGTACTACGTAAAATGATCATTTGCTATGACGTAAAGATTATCATTGATATAAGTAAAATTATTAGTTTACGGTCACATTTCCATCGTGACTTCCGTATTCGAATTTTTTTATTCGATATTTTATAGTACAGATCCAAAATCTCAATTATACTTCTGAATAACAAAAATTTAATAAATAATTTTCAACGGTGTTTTTAAATTTCACTAATACAATTATAAATTATAAATAATTTAATAACATTCAGGATTGTGCTTCGCAATATTATCGATTGCGTCGTAAATTTGCGTTTAACTTATATTATTTTGAATATCTTTTATTTTTGCATTGCTATACTAATTTTGTAACGCTAAGAAATTGTTTTATTTTGCAGTTATGCATATTATCCGTTTGCATGCCATTCTATAGTCGGTAGGTACAGTTTTTCACTTATATAACTAACGGATATTAAAAGATAAACGTTATTGTATATATATATATAAATGTATAACTGTTTAATTCATTCTTTTATTTATAGCAAAAAAACAGAATCCTCGTCGATAGAAACAATGAGCAAGAATGGGGTGCAAATGGTACAATATGTTGCTCCTGAAAGAGGTACTCTGAGATCATTATCCGTACCACCTTCTAGTCCTAATGACTCTTTAACACATACACCAAGGTACATATAAAAATATGTGCATGTATATATGTATATATACATATATTGTTATTTATTAATTAATAATTAATTATTATTATATATATTTGTAGAATTTCTAGTGAACGTTGTAATCCATATATTCGACCTAATCCACCACCTTATACTGGACCAAGCAATTTGTAAGTGTAGCTTATAATAATTATTATGAAATGATATAAACAATCTATAAAGAGTATATAATAATATATCTTTTTTTAAACTTTTTAGTGCAGGTATTAGAACAGACTTCTGACTGTACGAGGAGCCAGGAAAAACGTGGTTTTGCTAAACAAATACAATTAAAATACGTTTGCGCTTTGGACAAAGAAATTGCAAAATCATTGAAACTGGCTCCATAAATTATAATTAGTGCTTAAATCAATAATAAAGTAGTAAGTTTAATTATAAGTGCGCTCTATATATTTCATTTAAAGGAGCCTCATTCTATGTAAAACTTACGAAATGATAATCTTTTAGTAATAGCAAATAAAGTTGTTATAAAATTGTTTACATTTTTCTGCGAAATTATTCACAATATTCACATTATACAATCTTTATACAATTTGTTATATTTATACATAATTAAAAAATTTTAAACGATTTGAATTTGGCAGATAAAATATTTGTTTGAAATTGGACTAATCAGAGATCAGTTTTATAATAAGCGTTCTCTGATTGGTCCATGACAAACGATTAATCCTATCGATACGATATTCTAATAACTTCCTTTAAAAAATTTTAAGATTATATAAAAAATATAATTTTCATTCAATCTATCATAATTCTATTACATGTATCGATAAAATTCTGCAATGTTTTTTATGAAATATTATCCACTTATCTATAGGGATGAATGAAAAAGAACATAAGTTTTATATACATATAAAATTGTATTATTTCGCACATGCGCGAAAGAATTTACCATGCGCTTTTCGTTGTCACCTACATTGTCGATAGTCGCATTGTTTAGGCGGTCAGATTTGTATCTTTGAAGAAATACGTGTTTGTAATTTTATCACAATAATAAATGACAAATAATATTAATAAAAGAAATTTAGACGCCGTCAAAGTTTGTTAATAACACATTTACAATGGCTGGCATTATGCCATTGTCAGGAAGACCCGGTAGAAAACAATGGACGTTACACGGTGGTAATTACTGTTCCAAAAAAGTAGTTTAGCAATATTGTTTAAGTGATTCTTTGTTTCACATTTCTTAACATAATGTAATTATTTGAATAGAATAAAATAAAATAAAAGTGAAAGCAAAGCTCTTAACAATAATTGGAAAAGCTAATGGAGTAGTTGAAAAAAGGTTGCATGAGTATTAGACATCTGTCAATAACTACTAGGTCAAATGTTATTTATATCAATACTTGATGTATAAATCTATCATAATCGATACTAATTATAGATTTTAATTGATTTAATCAATCACTTAAAAATATATCTGTTTTATGTAGAAATAGATAATATATATATTTATGTATATATATATTAAATCTTAATATTGTATTAGTTAGAGAAGAATATGACAATATCAGGTTTTTATTAGATGGAACACGTGGTTCTCTTAGAAGATTACGGTCTCAAATGGCTGAAGACGGATGTCCAGAATCTCAAGTAGTTTTAGCCAAACAACTTTTGGATGAAAGATGTGGTTTGTTATATATTATATTTTCTAATTGTATATATGCATCGTACGTAATACATTATTGCATTATTTTATTCAAGATTTGGACGTTGATAAAGAAGAAAATGCAAAACTGGGTGTTTATTGGTTAACCAAAGCCTCGGAGCAAGGCAATTTAGAGGCAACAGAAATTCTTAAACAATGTTTAGCTACTGGTCGTGGAATCACCGAACACAATTACTACGATGTCAAAAACTGTTTGGATATGACACAAGATGAAAAACTAGCTAAAAAAGCTGCTCGGGAAATGTTTACTAGGTAAAGATGAAGACCAAGATAATCGTCGTCCCTAGTTAGTAATTTTTCCAATAATTTTTTCTATTATCTATTGATTACTGTTACGTACGTTGTTCTTATTAGAAAAGAGTTAATCTTCTTAGGTAATACTTTATCGATTCTATTCATTTGCTTGCTTTATATATAGTTTATCAAACGGTGAAGATTTTATTACAACGGAACAATTACAAAGATGTATAAGGGATGTGACATTTCCATCTAGTAGTAAATTCAGTAGTTGTCAATCATCTAAGTCATCAGCTAATACTTCAGATGAGAAATTAAATGATGCTTTAAGTAATAAATTTACTAAAACTGAGCTTCCTGAAGATAATGCATCTACGAAAGAAGAAAGTAAAGTACACAATGTCACCTATGGTAAGTATATAACTCTTATATATTATATTTTTTAATGATAAATATATAATATGCATTACTCTATATATAGTTAATATAATTTTAGACTGGATGGGCCATCAAAGTGAAAAAATAACAGAAGCAGCTTTAGTATCAGCAGCTACAAGCTATGCTCATGGAATGCTCCCAATGGTTTCTCGTACATTATGTATGGTAGATTCGCTTGAAATGGAATTAGCTACCATTCCTCTTTTACAAAGACCATTTATTCATCCGTTAGCATCCTTAAAGTGTTTCTATATTTGGTTAATAGAGATGATAGGTCATAAGACTAGACCGATCATAAAAATTCTTTTCGCGTCAAACATGCATATACTTCTATTACTTTTATTATATTCCTTGTTCGGTACAGAAAGTTTAATACTTTTCATTCCAATGGCACTCTATTATTTGTCTTTCATTGTAATGGTTATTTCTACCTTTCAGATGTTACACAGAAAGCATAAGTTGAATAATTTCCGTGTTTGGTCGCGCTTATTCCTCAGTTATTCAGGTGGTAATCTAAATCCCGACGAGGCAGAGTATCAATTTTGTTGCAATAATTTAAAGCCCTATGGTCATTTTTTTCTCGCTTTATTGCTTAATCTAATGATTTACCCTGTCATAGCTCATCAATGGACGCCGCAATCAGAATTTACTATTATTGCTGTTACTTTAACATTAGTGACATTACTCAATTTTATGTGGAATAATTCATCAAATTTTCCTGATCTTTTAGCTCTCTTTAGTTTTTGCGTGCATGTACTCGCAAAATATCCTTATGAATTAGATATTGTCGTAGCGCAAAGTTGGAGATTCCTCGATATTAGAGTACCTACATTTGCTTCCTATGTTGTTGGTAATGGTATTGAATTTTGCCTTAATTTTCGTGTTGTTTTCTATTTGTTGATACCAGCAGTTTTCTGTAAAATGGCTGCTAGAGACAATTGGCGTGGGACATATAAAACTTTGATTCCTCATTGCGTCACCATAAGCTGGTGGCAAATAGCAATATTTAGTTCACAAAGTAGAACATGGTATGGTTTAATTAGGGGTGCTCTCGCATTAGTCGGTATAGTACTTTTTCTCCCAATCGTTGGTTTAGCTTCAATTATTTTGCCAATTATAGCAGCTGCAAAATATTTGTCCGAAAGCGATTTAGCAATGAGAATAATTGTAACTGCCATACTCGGAGCGTTACCCTTCATTGCATCTTGGTACATAAGAAGATTAAGAACCCCAAGATTTAATTGGATCATTACTGTAGTCCAGGTTTTTATATTCTATCTCTATATTATAAAAATATATTAATATCGTTATAAAATGGTAAACTTTTATTCAATTATTAATATCATTTTTCTTTCTCAGCTCATTTTAGGCACAAGCGCTGCTATATTTTTATCATGGCAAGTTATAACGGAATATAAAGAAGATTCGGATAACAATTCATATGAAATTGCATCTACGTTATCGTGGGAGCAATACCAAAATCATTGTCATCAACCTGCATGGGAAGATATATCATCGAAAGCACAAGTACAAGTAGAATGTGCTCACTTGGAAGGCATTCCAATTTCATGGGAAGGTTACGTAACAAACGTTAGATTAAAATCAATTAAAAACAATATTGCTACAATATTACGCATGCTACCTGACAGTATTAGAACTACATTCAGTTGTACATATGGTGAGCCATATAAAGAAAATTGTGATTCGTATGACGAAGTACGTAGAAAAAATTGTGAACACTTTGTAAATATTCAAAAGAAAAGGCATAAGTGTCATTTTCCTGCATGGGATCAATATGAATTTGAAATTTTTGTCAAAATGAAAAGCGGTATATGGGGAAGTAATGCAGAAATTGTCCTCATTGCGGATCACTCGTTTACCAATTTTAGTCTAAATGTATATCCACAAGATAAAATTTGGTTTTCTGGCACTCTATCGAACACAGGTTTAGAAAAGGAATCATTACTTGGCGGTGGAGAACCACACATTGAATTAGACGAAATTAGTTGTTTAGCTTGCCATTCTGTTGACCTAAAATCTTTTAAACGACACAAACATCACATAACATTAAGTTCAATTGTCAATAACTTTTGGCTTGGTATAAAGACTGTTCTTAATTTTCTACTAAATCCTATTGTTCTATTTAAGTAATTCTCATACATTCGTTACACAGGAAAAAGAACTATTTATTTTAATTTCATTGGAGATTGTTTGAATTATCACACTTTTTTCTTTTAAGAAAGTATGCACTATCTATATATTCAAAAAATTAACAAGTATTTTTTTTTTATTAACGCCTCGTATGAGAAAAACTTCGTAATAGCCAGTCTTTAGTAAAAATTATGATAGTTATGTACCGAATAACAAACATAATATAATTAAGCACACACTTAAATCTTACAATCATGTCTTATGTTACCTTTATCAGTTATTTTAAATTCAGATTTTATTCTGAAATATATCTATTTTATAAAATGTGAAGATATATATTTATACTATATATATTTTAAGAATGACATTTATTACTATACTTTACTGCCATTGAAACAAAACAAAAATGATGAAATGCTTAATATTTTTCTATTAAATTTTTAGAATATTAGAAAAAATAATAATTATGAATTTAATTTGATTTAATATACAAAATTATTTTAGATTATAGATACTGAAATTTAATTTAATTAAAATAATTAATATACTTGTGAAATATTTTTATTTTTCCAAAAGATAATAGTACGCATTAACTAAATTGTATCAATAAATCGCTCCTAGAAATAGCAATAAAAAAAAGTTATTATAACAAGACAAAGTCCTAATAAAAAGAGGAAGAAGAAAAAGAAGAACTAAATTATATAACTATTATCTATTGATATGTAAACGCGTATTGATAGCAGATCATCATGGAGGTACTATGTATTTAGAATAGACATCGAAGTAATTAACATGATTAATTATGGAAACGTATTGATATAGTTATTTATACTTAAATGTTATGAATACCTGAACTCAAAATTAAATACTGTATAAAGAAAGAACAAAATTCAATGTTATATCGATGTAAATGTTAAAAATGTATAAAATTCTATAGGTAATATAGAAATGAGGAATAATAAGTCCATAAAAACAATGAAACTATCAGATATATCATATCAGACAATGAGAATAATGGACAAAAGATAACGTAGTAAAAAGATATATAATAGAATTAGAAGTGCCTTAATATTCTTTTGTTCAGATATTAATTAATTTATAATAAATAAAAAAAAAAGAAAAAGTACTCTGAAAATTGTGTAATATTTTTAAAAATTGTCGTATGATTTTTATTTATATAAATATTAAAAAATATTAATAACGGAAAAGGGAAAAACATGATTTCCCGTTATCGTTGGTAATTTTATTTTACATTTGGCAACAAATTATAATACATTCTTCCTTAAACATTTTTTCATTAACAAGATAATCATTTATTCAATTGGTTTGGTTCTTTGTTTTCTTTATCATTTTCATATAAAAAAAGTTTTATAAGAGAAGGATACTCTTATATTTATTTCATACACAATAATATTCATTTCACTTATGTACAAATATAAAATTTACATCAATCAAATATTTTGTTTATGCTTAATTCAAATAACAAACAAATAACATAATTTAAAATCAAGAAAATTATAAATTTCAACTGAATATTAAATATATAAAATACGTCATTATTTACCCAAAATAATTTAAAAATAATTACCAAAAAATAATTTACCAAAAATAACATAATAAACTATTCACTTATTATTTTGCAAGAATACTCCAGAATATGGATACTTCATATGTTTGAAAGAATTTTATATTCTAATAATATTTGTAATACACACATTTTCTTAGGATATACTCTCGTGAAAATGAATGTATTCTTATTAATCTGATAAAATCATTATATGTACTTACAAATAATGATATCCAAGTAATTTCGTAATATATAAAGATTATCAAAGTCAATCAGTGCAATTCTATTCAAATGTAATTTAAAAATATAATAGTTTTTATTGTTATGATTGAATAAAAAAAAATTTCTTTAGAAATTTAAGTGATCACTTACGTACATTATTAACCCAAAATGTACAATTTCTTGCATCCTACTACCTATTCGAGCGTATATATTTTATTCAGGCAGTTTAAGAGTAATATATATATATATATTTTTTTTTTCTGATCTATTATTTATCTAATATTTACTTATTAAATTCAACTTATATATACACTGATTAACTTGTTAATACTTTACATATAATAATAGTACTTAGGTCCAGCATAATTACCGTATAGCTTAACACATTCACAATTACAATGTTTATATCATTTACATATGCGATCATTTCACTTTTTTTGTCACTCTGACATATGTGTGATTCTTTATTTAAAAGTCTTTTTTCTGAGAAAAATTGCACTATATATTATTAATCGTGTTCGACTCAATTTTTATCACGACCAGTCTTACAAATACTTTAAATATTACACTACAAATATTCCTGTTACAGGAAAAATCCTGAGTAAAAGAATTCCAAATGAATTAGTTGGTAAATTACAATATCCATAAAATAAATCAATCAATAAAAACGCTTTCGAGAATTTTCCTGATGTTTTTGATATAACATGATCGCTATCACAACGCAAGCAATGAATATTAATGCTCCTACAAGCATTATGAGGAACATTTTAATACCACTTACAGGAGTTTGTTTTGGATCATCCACACGTTCTGCAAATAAAGTTATCTTATATTTACATACATAAATTAGATTTGGTTTCTAACCAATTTTTGAATATCCACAGATATCTTACCACGTGGCGATTCAAAGAAAGCTGCAGATGGTAAGATAGCAGATCTATCCTCGTTATCTTTCGGCTGTATAAATAGAATATTTCTTTTCGTTATAATAGTTTCGAAACTTTAGCAGATGTCCAAACCTTTTATACGCATATTTCTAATAATACCTAGTAATACGTATAGAAAAATTTACTTACATCATCTGGCAAATCTAATTCGAATAGACGAATTGATAAAATGTCGTGGTTGTCGCTTAAATCTCCTGTTGTTGCAGATATACCAAAGTAATAACCCGTTGGTAATTTAATACCCTTCACAGAAAAACATTCTTTCCAAGCCGCTTTATTTGCAATATCCGTAGAAACTGTATTATAAAAAGATAACAATTTAAAATTTCTATTAATTGCTATTTAATTGTATAAACCTATAATTATGATTTACCGGTTAAAGTATCTTTCTCGTATCTAATTGCTATATGCGTGTCATAATCAAGATTCCTAAATTTTGCTTCGCACCCTGCAAGTTGCGTATGCGTTCCATCACGATCATGATCATAATGCAAGGACCCATTATTTACCATTGCTGAAATATAAGGATGTTGATGCTAAAAATACAAAATACATTAATCTTATAATGAACATAATGATTGATTATAATTGAATGATTAAAATTCTGTAGACTTACATTGTGAGGACCGTTGTGATTACTGTAGGTATCGAGTATTATTGCTAACCCTTGAAAGTAATCCATATTTCCAAAAACTGGACCATGTTTCATGCGTTGTTTAGCGTACCAAATTGCAAAACCATCTCCAAATAAGTCTTTTTCTTTTCCATGCACCTTAAAATGTACTTGGAGTTCCCAGTTTCTAACATAGCATGGCTATAAAACAATCACAAAAATAATAAACGTAGATTTAAAATAAAAGAAATAATATGAAAATATTTTCTTACTGCAGAGTTCCATATAGCTCCTTGTTTACTTTGTAAATCTGATGTCAATCTTATATAGTTATTTGTAACCATCGTACTACCCATAAAATCCCAATAAGGAATAGTCATGCCAGAACCTAGAAAATATTAATTGTCAGATAATTCTTACACTTGATTTCTAACTATATATTTTTGTACTTATTAATATCATAACCTATAAATATTGTTTTAATGAAAAAAACAATGCATGATATATAAATGACAGCGTACCAAAATTTGATGGATAATTACTATGCTATGGATATTAAAAAAATCAATTAACAAACCTTGATAAGGCCGTATTAAAGAATGTTCTCGTTTCATATAATCCTTTGTATTCCATTCTGCGTTGACTGATTGTAGGATGCTCACGACGAAGAAGTAAATTAAAGTTACGTACATTCTTTTAAATTCAATTATTACTATTACTGTGTATTTATTAGAATGGTTTATAACAATTTCTTTTTTGTTTTTGTTATGATAATAGATATTCGCAAGAATTACTGCAAATGTAAATAAAAAATATAAATCTTAAAGGAAAAAGACAACTTGCAAATTTAGAAATAGATAAGGATAAATATAGAGTGACATACCAGTTTTTTATTATTGCAAAAATTATTGCTAGATTGGTATAGATCACTTTGAAATTCGATTATATTATTAATGATAAATAACAATTTTCAAAAATTTATACACTACATTTTATTATGTGATTTAATGAAATTGAATTAATTCAAAATTTAATTTAAAAATCCTCGAAAATCACTACGTATCGCTGCATTTGTCATACTAACAAGAAAGAGATATTGTAATAGATTTGTTTGCCACTGGCGTCACTTCTGTCGCATCGAACTTATAAATTTAAGCGCCAATTTTTAATCGATTTTGATGACAAAGGTATCATTTGAAAGATGAAGGTTCAAACGTTTTATCCTACTTATAGAATTTTTAAAAAAGCTTTATTTTTACGCACCAACTATTATCGAAAAACAGTATTTCCGGAAGCAATTATTTTTACAGAAAATCGACGCTATTATTTTATAGCAGTACTTAAAGCATATATATTTTAAATATAAGTAGATATATACTTTTAGTAAAATATCCGACATAATTAATATATTATTTAATCCTATCATATATGTAGGAAACATTAATATGTTTAGTCAATTGTACAATAATTATTTCACCTAATAACTGCATGCACCAAAGGGTTAATACAAAACTTGGTATGTGCATTAATATATAATAAATGAATATATATTTATTTGAAACTTAGTCAATTTTAAAGAATTTGATTGAGAAAGTAGTGTTTTATTTACACATGATATTTCAATTAGATAAAGGCCATTTTGATTTATAAAAAAGTGCCTTATAAAACATTTATTTCAGTCTTAAACTTAGGAAGCATATGTATCTTCTGAGACGCGTTCATTTTAACTTCGGGAATATACAAGATTGATCTGTCTACCAAACAACTGCATTGATGAATTTTCTTTTATAGGATTTTTATTTCTAATAATAATGATCTTTTAATATTTGAGCTAACAACATACATATTATTTACAAGGCATTATTAGATCATCAATGCAAGTTGTTTTATTTTGGAAAGATGTTAAAAATATATTTGATATAACATGATTAATAATACTTCTTCTCTCTTCGTAGCTTGGCTTAGATCAAAAAATATATAATAATAATTTTACAATAATAATATTATTAATTTATTACAATAACGTAGGCTTCCAACTTTAATTCAGAAGACGAAAAACATATGTTGCTTATTATAATCAAAGCATGTATTTCTAAGAACTATTGAAATATAAATATTTAACAATATGGTACAAATTATTTATAATTACATTATGTATATAGTTTACTTTGAAAAAAGTATTATAATAATTAAAAAGCTAGTGTTTGCAGATTTTATTTGATATATAATATAAGCAAAACTAAAACTATTTTATGTGACAAAGTTGAATCCTAACTAAAACTTTGGTGTGAGTTTTAAAAGGACACCTTTTAAAAATGTTGCTTTTCTCGCTGTCAATATCTGAGTTTTTTATAACTGATATATAACAATGGATAGAGGGAATGCAAGAAAATTTACTCAGAAAATCTATGCATAATTTGTTGAAAATTTTTCAAGATATCAATGTTATTAGATATTGCATTTGCTTGCTTATAAAGACTGTTCGTATTATGTCATGAAAAATAAACTAATGTTAAATCGTATATTTTAACACATTTTCATTTCAATTTCTCTTATGTTAATTTAGTTTAAACGAAATCCAGTTTTATCATGGAAGTGCATTGTTTCTGAAACATTCCATGCATTTACAATTATAAATGGAGCTATTTCATCTTGACTAACTAACCACAATGGCATTATCATAGCTAATGTAAGTCTATTAAAATTTGGCTCATAACATGGCAACAAGACTAACAATTCAAATTTAAAAACAAAGATAAAACAATCTGTGCAATTAATGTCATTTCAATATTGCAAACGAACCAATTGTAGATATTACTGAATAGATAATTAACAGGATTAAAATAATTCAGCAATTATACGCTGTTAATAATGGTTCGTAAGAGGATCAGAAATATTAATACAAGTTAATATTTGGATATCATAGCTAATAAAGTGGCACGTATGTAATTCATAGACAAAAAACGATACCATAAATAACACTAAATATTTATATACCTATTGTCATATTACACTTGTAAAACAATGATTTTCAAAAATATGAAGAAATCTTTTTCACTAATTGTAAAATATACTTGGATATATTGTACTAAAATTAAAAAACATTGAAAACATTTCAATTCATATTTATACTAATCATTCAATTATGTTCTTTTTCATTACTTTAATCGTGTGTTTAGAATAATTTTAGTTACTTCATATTTACAGAAAAATAGTTAAAGCAGGTACTCTTATCTGTAGCTGCTAGAATTTTAATATATGAGAATCAGCACGAAATTCCCTTTGATTATGATAATGCAAGTATTATTAATACAACTATTTTAAGTCGATATTACATCATAGAATAAGAGATAATATGACACATTGTGAGCTGTCAGTTTTTAGCTGTTTATATTCATCTCTCGTTACCTTGACTAATTTTATCTGTCTCAATTTGGTCTATAGTTTCGGCTTGCATGTTTATTTCATTCAATATATCATCGCTATTAGAACCAACACAAACTGGCGAAGGACTATCCATCGGTTGAAAAGAAAAACTTGGTGAATCTGCACTAGATAACGATTCAGGAGTTCCAACGGAACTAATGGTTCCAGATAATGGACTGGATATTGTATCTAACCTGCGTATAATAAATAACATATATGTATGAGTTAATTATGAAAGTTTAATTACAAAAATATTGTTATAAGAAAAAGATAGAAATAATTTATGAATATTACCTAAATGAATTTTGTGCTAAAGAAGCCGATGTACGTTTAGCAGGAGGATACGAATGATGATCTACACCAGTATCTTCTAATTCAAATTTTCGTTTAACAGGTCCTAAACAACTTGGCCTTATCGGACTTAGGCTACGCCTATAGAAAATAAATATATCAAATACTCAATGATTAATTTTACTTGCTTATTAAATTAATATTTACCTTGTAGCAAATGCTTTTCTTGTTGGACTAGGTGATAAATTATTTTTCCAAGTAGCCATGTGAATACCAGGAGAATAACATTGTCGTTGATTTAATCCTGATCTTGTAGGCGATGGAGATGAACACAATAGTGGACTATTTACAGATAAATTTAAACCGAGAGGATCTAATATCTTTTTTGTTATTTGTCGCTCGGTTCTATTAAGATGGGAAGGAGATTCTGAATCCTTAAATGATAAGCCTTCTGCTTCTAGGGTAAGATCTTCCCATGACTGAGATATTTGCATCGCACTGTGAATTTCTTTTTCGTGTGCGGCTTCGCGACCAGCAACGTCTATACATTCTTCTTGTCTTAATTGGCTAACTCTTGGCGTTAAGCGTGGTATACTACATGGACTCTATAATATAGAAATATATAATAATAAAATATAAATATTTAAACTTGGAAAGAAGAGATAATTAATATTGACGTTATCATAGTATAGTTTATAAAGTTAAATATAAAAAAATGAGTTTTACACTGGCGCTGAATCGTCTCATACGAGGTGAATTGGCAAATACATTAAATGTTGATACAGCATTTCTGAAAATAATAAAAAACAGTCCACAATTAAATAACAATTTTCCGATGTATAATTAATAAATAATTAAGTAATTCTCTTATATTTTTTACAATCATAGTATCATTTTCAAACTTGTACGTAAAAAATAAAAGAGAGATTCGCGAGAGAGTCTATTAAAACTTAATAAAATATAAATTTGAGTGGTCAAAGAGATCTATATTTCCACTCATATCAGTTAATGATAGAAGAAAAAATCATTGAAATTGTCAATTGTCAATTGTCAAAGATATTTATAGAAGAAATGATCTAATGATTTGTTTAACAATGGGAATACAAATAATCGCCAAAAATATCTTTACATAAAGGTGTTTAAATAATAATCGATTGTGCATACCTTGGTGCAGAAGTAGAGGGTGAGGTAACAGACATTGTGGCACTGATCTCATTAATCATAGGCGCACTGCTTGATCGTTTTAAACCGACTATCGGACAATCAACATCCATGATTGTCAAAAGTCTCTGTAAACCTATATGTTCCTCCGCGAGAAATATCCACTAAAGAGAGACACATTGAAATTCGTCTAGGGTTACGTCTTTTATCCTGATATCGTTAATAAATATAAGAGATGTTGCTCAAGTTTTTCTATGGACGGCTCATAGATTGTTTGGTAAAAAGATGAACGTATGACAAATAATGTATAACGTAACACGTGTTTTTACAATTCCGTATGGAAAGTAAGGCAAATTCTTCTTTCAAGTTGTTGCCTGATCCTTTTGATTTTACACACTTACGTCGAGATTTTTTTCAATCAATTCCAATTCATTTTAATAAAGAAGAAGGAGACAAAATATAGAATATACTAAGTAACTACAAGTGTCTATATCAAATCTTAATCATCGAAAGAAAAACTGAATTTTCTACTTGTTCTTTTACCACAAAGATTACTATGAGCTTTTGCTCGATTAATAGAAGATACAATAATACCGGGTAAACCCTTCTCCGCACTCAGTAGACACTGGAATGAGCGTGGCTATTTGCTTGCAGTGATTTTTATTAGCATGTCCAACTTAAACATAATTGTGCCAGGTAGTGCCAACTGTTTAACCAACAGGGATGCAAATACTTTGGAGCCAATGGCAATAAAGGTTAAGTAGAGAACGACGAATCTCCTGACTTTTAGAAAAACTATAATTTGATTAAATAAGGTGCATCCCCAAAATTTATTATTCAAAAGAGAACTTGTCAAATTTTAATATTTCTCTTATTGTTAGACAAAGAAATTCGGATGTAGTAGGTATGCATGAATATAAGAAATAAAATTTATACCACGTTGTAGTTAACATGTTCATTGTTTTTAATCGTTGTAAAATGTATGTATTCAGTCTTTAATATTGAATGAATCTTAACCCTAGTTTAACTAATTTGTTGGCAGTTATATTTATGTTTCAGAATTTCTAATTACTATTAATGTAAAACAGATGATATTATTTTACTAATATATAAATAATGTATATTCTTAGCTACTGCTAGATGCTTTCGTTGGAAAATTATTGTAACTGCAAGATGAATTTCCAACGATGTAATGGGAAACGCTGTTTTCTACGTTTTTATAAGGCAGCTGTGCATACAAGGCATTAATTGGATAAGTATTATTTAGAAGATAAGTGGTGGAACTACCAGACGATCCGATTGATCTTGAATACTCTTCTCGTTTCTTCGTTGTAGCTTGTTTTTGAATTTTTGTTGTTGTAACATTTAACACCTACAAAACAGCACAAAAATATAAATAAGTAATATTATTTAATATATTATCTATAATAGAAAAAGAGAGAGAGAAGGCATTTACTTTTGGCATGCCAGATTGAATACATTGAGCTAAAATAATGTCTTCTTCTTCTTCTTCTGAAGGACTGTAACTTTCTTCTGTAGGATAAAATACGCTTGCTGAGCCACACTGAGTAGTATTTTGTTCTCGCATTATCTAAAAAAGTAAAATAATATGCAAGTAACAAGGATATGCTAACGGTATGCAAGTAGCAGGGATATTCTAATGATATGCAAGTCTTACTTTTTCTGCTTGAAGTCTTGCAGGTAAAGAGACTGGACATTGAGTTCTATGTTTTGATGTCTTACAACTAGTTCCTTTTAATAATGACAATGGTGAGCACCTTAAACGAGCCTAAAAAAAAATATAAAAAATATAATAAATATATTAGTAGTTAAGTAATATATAAATAAATTAGTAATTTTTGTCGAAGCATAATGAAGAAAATACCTTTGCAGATTGTATACATTCTATTAAAATAGCTTCGTCATCCGATTGATTGGGACTATCGTCTGAAAATTCCTTTTCATTTTCCGTCGATATATGGCGTAGAGGTTTATTTATTGTAGGATTTTTATTGGAAGTCGATTCAACAGGAGACGACAAAGGTGTTCCACATGAATTAAATTTTGGTGGTAGGGTTTTAAGGTTTTTTTTACAAGGTATACTTTTCGTCGGAGGTGGGGTAATTTGTCTCACCTATAAGCGAGAAAAATTATATAAATAACACAACAAATAAACATCGACTATATTGGGGGCATTTTCAAAAGTATTATAAAAAATAACATAAATACTTTTGGTATTCCTGATTGAATGCATTCATCAAGAATTTTTTCATCTTCATCAGAAAGGTTATAACTTTCATCTGAAAGATCATTTCTGTGACATTCAAGTTCTGAAGATTTAATTGGTTCAATTTTTTCTATATCTTCTGGAACACTTGGCATAGATAAGACAGAAAGATTTGATTGAGAACCAACTGGAGAGATACCTGCTGGTGTATCTTCTGTACAATAAACATGTACTGTATCTGGGACAACAACGATTTCCATTGGTGATTTACAAATTTTCGAAACAGCTGGTGATTCCCCGGAGGAAATGGAAATGCAAGCATGCGATCTGTTTAGTGGTGACTTTTTATCGCATGGCATTAAGACGCTTGTTGATTTAGAATGTGTAGGTTTTGGAATACTTTCTGTTTTTGAAGACTGTCTATATCTATTATTTTGTATTCCCATACTAATACAAGCAGCTAGCATATCTTCATCATCTTCGTCACCATCGCTTATTTGTTCTGGTTGTTTTTCAACTTCAAGAATATTTACTTTTACAAAGGATGTATCTTTTTCGATATTTTGATGAACCGGTTCTGATATTTCCTCCAATTTATCTTCACTTTTAGGATAATCAGAACTTTTCACTTCATCGTCAATAGTTAAAGAACTCAAGCTTGTAGTGGTAGAAAATTCTATTGGTGTTGATTCTTCTTTAAAAGTAGCAATATCGTCTTCAAAAACACTAGTCCTTTTGACAGTATGTTTTGGAAACACTGGAACAAATCAATCCTTAATATATTGTATTAATATTTATATAGAAATAGAAAAATAGGAAATTTGAGTAGTTTTGCTAATGAGTCATAATTGTTAGTATGTATATATATATTAATGTTTTTGTTAAAATATATACCCAAATAGTATATTGAATATCATTGCATACTTAAATGAGAATGTGATGGTTTTACTTCTTCTTCTTCTTCTTCTTGCATTTTATTCATAAAATCTGTAGATTTTATATTTTGTATTCGAGGGCTAGGTGGTACGGTTTGAGTAGGAGAATCTGGCAATTCGCTTGGTGAAACGACTCCGCTTGTTCTACGACTAAATGAGAAATACATTAAATACTAGAAATAATATAAACATATATAAATTTTATCATGCAAAGATCATGTAGGATGTACCTAAAATCACTAACAATGGAGCTACGGTCATCATGTATAGAATGCTGTTCGAAGCCACTCAAAGAACCAAGAGAACTACAACGTGAAAACATTAGAGGTGTTTGTTCAGCATAAAAATCTTGTCCACTGAATGTTACCATTTTTCCTTAAAAGAACATCAAGAATTAATATTAAAGAAAAACTAAACAATCTTTTTTTCCTTTACATAAATTTAAAAAATATACCTTCCTTATCGACGATACGTGAATTATTTTTAATTTCAACAGGACTATTGTCTATTGAAGTAGAGATTAATTTATTGGTATTTAATTCTTCTACGTTAGAATTATTTGCTTCTGGTTCTGATTTAATGATGGAATTTTCTAAACTTGCTTTTGATATTATCTCTGATACATTATTGCATTGTGCTATTTCGCTGTTAAAAGAACTGAGTGAATTAACGCAGGAAGAACTACTAGATTCTTCTTCTTTATAAAAATTAATTGGCTTTTCAGGAATTATATTATCCGTACTTATACTAATAATATGTTTTTGTCTTTCCGCTTTTTCTGACATCAAACGTTGTTGCACACAACATTCTTCAGATCTTTTTTCTTCGAAAGATGTACTTTTCTTATCTTTAACAGCAAGTCCTCTTTTCTGTGTTTTTTTAGCATGATCATTATCTTTTGTATCTTCTACTCTTAAATCAGACATAGATGTTGCAGTGGAAAAATTAAAAGGTGTTTCATAAGGAGTACCTTCTGTACAATACGTTTTAATAGTATCTTCTTGCACGCTCCCAGAAAAATATTCCGTAGTTGGTTTTTCGTCTTCATCTGTATCATTTTCTGCGTATCTTAAACTATAGTCTGTTGGTTGATCAAGATCTGTTTCTGCATAATCTCCATATAATGCTGTTTCAGATTCGCATTCTTTAATATCCTCATTTGCAGATTGATCTTTGTCTATGTCGTTCAAAAGATGATTTTGCTTTAATCTATTTCTTTCAACATATTTTTTACTGTAATCCACTGGTTGATCCCGTATATCATCGTCGTAAGTTTCTGTTGCATTTTCATCCATATTACACCTCAATTTTAAAGTAATTTAGATACGTTTGAAAAAACTATTAAAAACTATGTAAATCAATAAAAGCACAGATATTACCTTAGATTAAATACAATAATCTAATATCACTCTATTATCTAATATCATTCTAGTGGCAACACCTGTTTAACGATTAATTACAAGTTCATTTACCATGTCATTAAAAGGATGAAATGCACATGCATTTACATGTGCAGTGGTTGGTGCACTAATGTCATTACGCGCGCTACCTGGTAGCTAAGTCCCGTACTGCAAAAAAGATATATTCCACCTTGATTTATAACTGTAATATTGGCTTTAAACGAATAAATTAATACTTAAAAGAAATGATTTCTATTGTTTTTCGATCTAATCTTTAATACTGGTAAGATGATTATGATATAGGGTTATTTATGGGTCACTTTTTGTTTCATTGTTATTTGGATTAATTACAAATAATTTACATCTAATTGGTTGTTTTCTTTATATTATTTTGTTTAAAAGAAGATAATAGAAATAATTATTTGAAGGTAAGGAGAAAAACATAATTATCGTTAGATGAAAACAGACGAGAAGCAATGACGCTTGCGCGATCAATTGAACAGTGGTTCTCCGAACATAGGCGGTAAGGAGTCCCGATGAAGCTCATCATTCGTCGTGCGTCTTTCAAGCGCGTCTGTCGACGGTCGTTCGGATTCACGAGTGTGTTAGTAAATAGTTAAAACGTGCTATGTCTCATTCGTCTTCTTGAGACCACGTGGCTTCCTCGTTTATATGTTCCCGCGCAATTCTTTTACTCAACTTATTGACCAATCACTATCCTTCTTTGCTCATTAGAATGTACGACAATTTTAAATAAGTGTAATCATTTCGTTAGTAATTTAATTTCTTTCTCTTCCTTGACATTTTTTAAGAATACGATTTTCATTAATATACTACGTTTGTTTAATTATTAAGCTTTTTTAAATATTAATTATATCAAAAGTGATCGAAGGTTTTTTAATTACGTAGAGTGTATTATTTTAGATTTTACATTTTGTTGGTTAAGTACGCAAAATGATTCGAACAAATTTAAAAAAATGGAGAGAAAGAAAGAAGATTAAGATCTATTTGTGAGAAAAATTACATAATCAATTCGAGTATTATTTTCATTCACATTTATTGGTATCAATAATTATTTATAATAATTATATCGGTTATTAAAATAATTGTATTAATATGACTAAAGTTATCAAGTACTTCAAACCAATCAATGACTTTCATATATCATTTTAGTTATCCGAAATATATCGAAAATATCGATTGGACAATCGCACGTTACTTCCTGAAATGCCTTCAAACGAGGAGCTCAGAGAGTGAGATTTATTTTGACAAGTGCAAGAATGGACTAGCTTATTTTCTTTGATTCTTCAACGATTTTTCAAAGTGTTCGTGTTGGTGATATGTCCAGAAGAAAGCAGGCGAAGCCACGATCCTTAAAACGTAAATATTTTTCTATCTAATATTGCCTCTTTTTATTTCAATCGTTGCGATGTTCGAAATCATTTTCAAATTTATTAATATTTTCAAAGTTAACACTTTGAATTTTTTTTAGATTCCAAGGTAATATTTATTACAAAGAAACTTTTCGTGCGAATATGCATGTATGTATATGTGTATAGAAAAATACGTTGATCGAAAATTTGATCGATTTACGAAAGACTGATGTATTGATAGAATATTTAAATGTTGGTGGTATCAAGATGTCGGAATAATAAAGTACAGTAAAACAATGGATATTTTGTAAAAAAATCCAACAGAAAGAAGGAACAACGAGGAAGGACAGTATTTAATCAATAACTTTATAAAATTTGGATTATATGAATTCGTTTGTATTTTATAGAAACGGATAAGAGCTACGAATTTTGGTATTTTTCTTTTTTTGCTTTTTTCTTATATA